TGAAAAATTCCTGAAAAAAATGGTGAAAAACTATATTTTGTAAAGTTACAACTGCTAAGGTATGTAGCAAAAAAAATATTCGCCGTATTAAAAAATTTTACTTACATAAAACTTGCACCTAGGTGTCGGCTTGAAAACATGATTGACAGAATTTGCCTATCTCATTCCAAAAAGAAATGGCAGCCATTTCCGCACGGCGGGGCTACTCGGGACACCCCCCCGGGGCTATTAGGGACACCCCCAAAAACGCATTTACGGTAGAACCTCAGTTAGCAAAGGCTCCAGTTAAGAACAAATTGATTAAAAACAAAAGAATATTGATTACATTTACCTCGCTGAGCGAAAAAAAAGTTCACATATCGTCACACAAATTACAAGCCGTCCTGTATGCTTACAGATACAGAAAAAAATGCTATAAGGCTGCCGATATGAAGCTTGCAGTGAACAAGCTTGTTGTAAATGCTTAATGGCATGTTCATGGATATGGTAATATCGCATCAATAATACAGTAATATCCCATCAATAATAGGGTACCGTCAACGGGGGATTCGGCCGCGTTCATAATGATGGCCAAAGCGGTCATAAACGGTCATAAACAATGGCCAAAGTCACTCCGGCGTTTATGACCTGGTTTACAACCCTGGCGTTTATGACCCCGGCGTTTATGATCCCGGCGTTTATGATCCTGCCGTTTATGATCCCGGCGTTTATGATCCCGGCGTTTACGACCCCGCGTTTACGACCCCAGCATGAATCAAAAACGAGGCCGAAGTCACCCCAGTTGACGGTAATTAATGTTTATGGTAATATCATATCAATAAAGGAAAAACAAGTAAAAATCACAGAAAATGTCATTTATTTTACCTCCATCAGAGTACTGTTAGTAATGGATGAGTACCCTCTGCATGCTTCAAATGTTTTGAAATGAAGTTTTATTCCCATTGTCCCGAGTAGCCTTTATTTTGCGTCTGGCACCTTAGGAATAGCATATGGAATTTTTTTGACAATGCCATTCAATAGCCCTGGCAAAGAGCTATAAAATGAGCTTAAATGTGTTTATGAAATGTTTCATCATAAGAAGTTATTAACAGTTATTAACAAGAAAACGATCAAATCTGTCCCGAGTAGCCCCGGTTGACGGGACTGTTAGTAATGGATGAGTACACTCTGCATGCTTCAAATATTTTAAAATGAAGTTTTATTGCAAGTGTCCCGAGTAGCCCCTTTTTAAACAGTAAATAGAAACGTTAAACAATTATTGCCAAAAAATTATAATCAAAATGGTATTGAACTTGTTTTAGTAAGCATCATGACTTCCCCATTCCTCGGGACACTCTTTTTTTTTGCTCCTGGCACCTTAGGAAAAGCATATGGAATTTTTTTGACAATGCCATTCGATAGCCCTCGCAAAGAGCTATAAAATGAGCCTAAACTTGTTTATGAAATGTTTCATCGTAAGAAGTTATTAACAGTTATTAACAAAAAAAATGCTCAAAACTGTCCCGAGTAGCCCTGGTTGATGGTACGCATGCATGGAACTAAGACAAAGCTTAATATGAAGGAAAAGTTGAGAAGTGTTGGAATTACCTACGATGTCAGAATATGGTGCGTTTACCCTAAATGTTTTTCTTTTTGTCCATTAAGAAAACGTGGTTTTTGAAAGTTTTTTTTATTTGTTGTATTTCATTAATTTCAGTTTTGTAAAAACCAGAAAAACATGGTTTTTAAAAAATGTTTTTTTTTATATTTCTCTATTAATTTCCTCATTTAGTTGAGATTTTAACCAATTTCTTAGGTATGATAATGCTGGTATCCATGATACTTTACTGGTCTACTTATAGGAATTGAAAATGAACTTGAGGGAAAGTCTAAAAAACTCTCAGCTTTGCAACTATGCAGATTGTAAAAAACATACCTGAAACAGAAAGGAATATTTCAGAGACAAATATCATATTTTTTGGAGAAATAAATCATAGTTTAGGTTAATTACTTTTCATTCTGTGTTGCCCAGTGCATTATCTATCTATGACATTCCAGGCATGGAATATATTTACTTGGCTGGCCGCGACTGGATTTTTTGTGCTGTGGTTTTATGGGTATGCCAGCCGTGAATTACATATTTCAGCCGTAAAAAGGCATTTACGAGCTGCAAACTATGCTATGCAAATTCTGTCAGTCACATTTTTAAGCCAACACCTGTGTGCAACTTTTATGTAAGGAAAATTTTTTAATATGGCAAATATTTTTTTCTACTGACCTTAGCAGAGGCACTCTTCCAAAATCTCACTTTTCATACTTTTTATTCAGAGATTTTTTAGACGTAGTAAATGTATGATTTCTTAACTTGCTTTATGCTACATAGATAGGAAAAATGTTGAACTTTATGCCACTATTTTTAGTTTTGCAATATATAAATTAATTTAGTTGCTACTTGCTACAACTATTCTACAAAATGTTGGAGGACTGTCCTGATTTCCCCACCTATCCCTTATTACTCCATTTGACAGTATTTATGCCCTTCCTCAAATTTATTTTTGAGATAGGACAATAAATACCATCAAGACTAAGTGGACTATTAAGTATCTTGGATACCACCCATACCAGCATTATCATATATAAGAAACTAATTAAAAGACTGAAATTAAAAATTAACTGATGCTAAAAATATTTGGTTTAGTGCAGTGGTTCCTAAACTTTTTCAGGTGGGCACCTCCTTTGGCCGGTGAATCTCTAGTGCAACCCCCCCTTGCTCCATACAAACTTTACAAAGCTAATGAATAGACATAGTACCAATAATTGTTTACCCAAAAATCCCTAAGTGGTAAACACCACCTTGGCCTGTTGGCCATTATTGAAGGCAATAAGTGCCCTTTTTAGCCATCCATTATGATCCATATACTGTATTGTTAGTAGGCTAGTTGCAACATAAAAAATAACACTTTAAAAAGACAAAAAAGTTGAAAAAAGCCAAAAAATCAAATAAATAAAAAAAAATCATGAAAAAATAAAAAAAAATTATTGATTTTTGATTTTTTTGATTTAAAAAAAATAAAAAAAATTGCCAACCCTGCGGCATGTTGTACCTCTGCTAAGGCCTGTAGCAAAAAAAATTGTTGTATTGAAAAATTTTACTTTCATAAAAGTTGCACACAGGTGTTGGTTTAAAAATGCGATTGACAGAATTTGTGCATCTCATTCCAAAAAAATAGTGGCCATTTCCGCAGGACGGGGTAATAAGATAAGGGACACCCCCTCAAGGTAATAAGGGGCAGCTCTAAAAACGCATTTACAGTAGAACCTTGATTAGCAAAGGCTCCAGTTAAAGAAAAATCTATCAACAACAAAAAATTTGGATTATATTTACCTTGCTCAACGATAAAAATTTCACTTAGCAAAAAATTAATGCATCATCAGTCATCACAAAATTGTGCACAGGATGTCATAGATAGAATTGTGCACAGGGCAACATAGCTAATATGAAGCTTGCAGTGGACAAGGTCATTGTAAATGCTCAATGGCATGCTCATGGATATTGAAATATGACATCAACAACATGGTAATGAATGGAAAAGGTAATTTCATATCAATATAGGAAAAACAAGTAGAAATTACAGAAAATGTCATTTATTCTACATCTACATCATCTACAAAGGAAGAGGAGGACTTCAGAGTACTGTTAGTTATGGATGAGTACACTCTGCATGCTTCAAAGGTTTTAAAATCAAGTTTTATTTCAAGTGTCCCGGATTATCCCGTTCCCAGGGATAATTCGGGACACTTTTATTTTGCGTCTGTCACCTTAAAAATAGCATATGGAATTTTTGGAGAGGCCATACAATAGCCCTCGCAAAGAGCTTCAAGATGAGCCCAAACATGTTTATGAAATGTTTCATGGTTAAAAGTTATTAACAAAAAACGTTCAAAACTGTCACTTATTATCCCGTTTAATGGTACAGATTTTATTTTATTTGAGACTAATAACATTAGTGATGTGGCAAGTTAATTAACATAGATGATAGGCTTTTGAGATATTGGAAATGTCTCAAATGACTTAAAATGACTTATATTTACCTTCAATCACTTTATTTTGTCAAGCTATTGTGCAACATCTTTTATGTTGCTGATAATGCATTCCAAGTATTGTTTGAAGCACTTGTATCAACATTTTTATTTAATATAGGCCTTATCACAGTTATTCATCAATTCCATGTACTTCATTTTTTATGATACCGGTATACATGTATATATTACTCCATCTGTCCACTTATTACCATGTTAAATTTGTTAGAGCTTCAAGCCAGATTTGGAAGAATCCTAATTCTACTCATTAACTATGAAATTCAAGTTTTCATAAAAATTCAAGTTAACAGTATGTACTATGTAGACCTAAAATATTTCAGATTGTTCAAGCATATTAATAGTTGATAGATTGTAGTTATTAATTCTTTGAAGCTAATAAATTATGCTATAAGAATGAAGGAAGATTATTCAATTACATAGGATTCATTTAATTTTATTGGGTAAATGAGTTTTTTAGTGAACCACAACATGATTCTTGTTTTATTTTCACCATAATATCTGTTTAATTTTGTTTTGACCATGTATGAATTACATCACTAGCATATGAATTACATCACCTGCAAACGATGCAGCACCTGGTGTGAAATAATATGACACCTGATGTATGAATTACATCACAAGTTACCCATCACACCTGCAAAGTGATAATATTATAATATATAGCGGTTTTGACATTTATTAGGCCATAGGCCTGTCGCTAATTCTTAATATTGCAGAACATCCGCAGCATGTTGTGGTCTTGAACTCACAACTCACTGCTTCAAATTCTTTTGCTTAACAGACTGGCCTCATTGCCAATTCCAACCAGAAACTGGCGCACAGAGCTGGGATCAAACCCACAACTCTCTGCTCCAGTCTTGGTACTCTGAACTTTAACCACTGGGCCACCCTGTTCAATTAATATAATGAGTTAAATTTAATTATGGTTGCATGTAACATTTTTCAAAAAATTTCAGATATCTCTGAAGATGAAGCAACTTGCTCATTATCAGCCATCAACCTTGAAAAAGAAGTGAATATTCACAATAATGTCATCTCCAAGCAAAGAACACCAAGAAATAGCAAGAAGTAGCAATATGAATTTGAATGGTTCTAATTCTTACTCAAACTCAGCAGTTTATCCATCAACATTTTTGAGTGAGAATGCGAGCAGCAGCAATGCTCTGCTCAATGCTGTCCCCTATGACATCAGCCAGTGTGGCCAGCAATATGTGCTCAACCCAGATGGTAGTGTGCAGGTGCTCATGACACTCCAGCAATATGAAGAACAGGTGAAAGGTAGCATCGGCTCTGAAGTCATCATCTCACAGGACCAGTGTCATTACGTCGCTTCCAATGTCTTCACATCAGCGTCTGAGTGCAACATTGGATCCATTGCCTCGGAGTCCCATGCAACTTTAGCTTCTACCACATCAGGTAGTTACAGTGTTGTCAGTCTACCCAACTCCGGTGTGTCAACTGTCATGGAGGCTACCAATTTCGGCATCAAGAGACAACCTTTAGATCCAAGCCAGGTTTTGTCAGTGGCCTTGAATACCGCCCAAGTTTTGCAAACCTCCAACTTGATGAATGATTCCACTTGTACTGACGGGTCCTTGCAAACTTTTGTAGAAGACGTACGTTCGACAGACTCGCACGCATATCAGCATCTCCAATTGATGCCAAATGGACACTTGCAGTCTAAGGGACAGGAATGTGCAAATGCTTCACCTCATGCTGGGCCGTTCAGATACTCAGTCAGTGAATTTCCAGCTGTATGTTCCTCAGCTTTGTATGGGGTTTCTCAAGCTTCTCTGACAAACGAAGTGCGTAACAAACAAAATGTGAGTTCGGGAAGTTCCTCAATTTACTCTCCCAGCAGAATTGCATCGTATACAACGCAACCCACTGCACTTCAAGCGCATGGCAGCATCGTACCTTCTCAGTTCAGTATTGTTCAAGACAGGCCATTGAGCCACAGTCGCCCGGTTCCATCCGAGACCGTAACATCATATGTGAATATGTCTTCAACTCCCGGCGTATTTACTACCTCGACTGAGGTCACGAAAATAAACAATACCCCGATAGAAAAACACAATATCGACCGTTACGTCATTCAAGTGGGCAAACCGCGGTCTCCGATCTCACCGCGTCCATCGTTTGAAGTAAGCAATGACGGACACGTTGTGATCAGGACCGGTAGCACTTGCATCGAGGATGGACAAGTTGTGTCTTTTCTTCGACCTCTCCTGCAGACAAACGCCAATATTGATGTGGGTGTTGAAGATATCAAATCAATGACCACTCACGAAATGGCCGTAAATCTTCCATGTATTCGGTCTACTGCAGCTTCAACAGAAAAAAGTTATGCAGGGAAAAGTGGTTTATCAGCTCAAGATTCTGTGAAGAAACTTGTGCAGATAAACTTCCCCCAAACTCATGCTACCATTATGCCAGATAATTTGAGCTCTGACACTACTCGTGCGTCGGTCATTCCTGATTACAACGGCACAATCTTCGAATGTTCAAACTGCAAAAGCAAGTTTTTGCGATCAACTAATCTCAAGTGAGCATCCTATAGCTGTAACTCAAGTGTCTATTTTCAAGTAGTAAAGCCAATGCATCAAGTGTACGATTTTTTATGGTTGGTCCTTGAACGAGATCATACAAATTCAAATTTAAACACTTTAATATTTATTTTCATTAATAAGCTAGGCCCCAAACATATAAATGAAAATTTTTTAAAACGTTTGTCTCACTTTGTGCAATTTATTTGGATGTTGATGAGATTAGAGACCACTGTTTTTAGTACGGTAAATGTCTTGACGTTTCTGAAGATTTGTTCAATTGGCAGGGCACACAAACGCAGCTGCCGGAAGCCTGAAGTGAAGACGTCCGAGAAAATGCCGCTGCTGATGTGCTCCTTTTGTAAGGAGACGTTCAAAACTAAACCCCAAATCTGCCATCACCTGACGGTGTGCAACCACAGCCCCCTTGCTAGTTCCTCGACCAGTAGCAGTGACCCTGACCATCGTGCCGCCAAGCGAGTCAAGCTCTCGCTCGATGCGCTCATGGAACAAGGAGTCCAGTACCGCTGTCTCGTGAGTAATCAGCCCTCAATGATTTGGTATAATAAAGTCACCTCGCATCTCTTTGTTAGCGCATTTTCTCATTTATGGAAAAAACGGCGCTAATGTGCTCGTCATGTCCGTCCGTCCGTCTGTCTGTCTGTCTGTCTGTCTGTCTGTGACTTCACTGACGGACGGACGAGAAAATGCGCTCTCTGTCACTCACTGCAGTGAGTACTGAGTTATATTTTTTTCTTAATAGTTAATATGTGTGACGTTGAAGAAAGTGTTCAGTCAAAGAAAGTGAGTCTTCCTTCAGAATTTTCTCAATGATTTGGTATAATAATGTCACCTCGCATCTCTTTTTTTTATTGTTGATGTGTGTGCGGTTGACGAAAGTGTTCTGTCAAAGAAAGTGAGTTTTCATTCATTCTTCATCCAGAGATCAATCTAATTGCCCTATTTTATTGTATTTATATTGTAGTTGTCAGATGAGCTCATAAAACGAGTTTTGTATAACTGATATCTGCGTATAACTTGTAATTTTTTTCTTATTTAAACATCTGTACAATATCCATCTAATATTGACTGCGACAACTAGATTTTTTCTTTTGGCTATCGTGTTCTATACGAGGTAATTTCATTGGAATTTTGATCTGAAGTTTCAAGGTAAAGTAGCAATTGAAGATACGATCTAGCTTCGTTCTAGCTGATTCCATCATATTCATGCTTGCACGAGTAGGTTGATTTATTATCGTGAAGATCTAGAAGCGTTGTCGCTTCAACGCTGTTGGTATTATAAAACTTTAGTCTGTGATAAAACCAGGCATTCTATGTGTCGCGTGTTGCAGGACTGCGACCGAACGTTCAACAAGCAGCGTCAGTACAGCAGTCACATCAAACGTTGCACTCAGACGTCCGTACAGGACATGACACACCACACGCGAGCTACCGACAACATCATCCCTCTTCCCTCGTGTGAGAGATCGTCTTCGTGTCTGTTAGATTTATTAAATGTTTCCTCGAATTAGATCTTTTGAATGGTTTATGAAAGTTATTGCTTAAAGAGTCATTTAGATGATAAATTTATGTATCTTTGTTTGCATGAATTTCAAATTTTATTGTATTATGTCACAGAATGAAAAATATATCATCTCAAGCTCTGCGATTGCGACCGTCAATTCGTATGTTAATTCGTTTTTATTAATATGCATGTAAGTTGACGGCGTTCACGAGGCTGTAGACGACCCGTTCGCTGACCCCGTGCCCGTGGCGCCCGTGGTCGTCGCGTCGCCGGCCACCAACAGACGCGGGTACCCCCGGAGGCGCGGGGGGCGGCGCCCTAACATGACGCACGTTGGGAGCGCTTCTTCTGCTGCTCATAACGGCGCCGACACCAGCTCTCCGCAACTTTTCAATGGTGAATAATGAATACAGTGTCTAAAAGTTATAAATAATTTGTGGTGTTATTGGGGTGTATTATAAAGTAGTTTACCATGGACAATCCTTGATGAATCATCGGTTTAATTGTGGTATTTTGTTGAATTGTTTACCATTGACAATCGTTGGTGGATCTTGTGTCATGTTGCGCAGTCTTTGAAATCATTTAATTTCTTGAACTTTGAAAAATTTGAAATAATTCACTCCGATTCGAGTTCTGTTTTTTTTTTGTTTTTGTGTTTTTAGTGCATTTTCTCGTTTGTGGAAAAAAATGCACTATTGTGCTCGCCATGTCCCATGTCCGTCTGTCTGTCCGTCCGTCCGTCCGTCTGCCCGTCCGTGACTTCATGTTTTCGTCGACGAGAAAATGCGTTCTCTGTCACTCACTGCAGTGAGTACTGAGTTATATTTTTTGGTCTATGGTCAGCTTGGTTTCACTCAGAAATATGACTGAGACTGTCCAAATATCGATGCATGTTTCGCTCTTGTGTGGGTCATCCCAACCCAATACTATACAGGAAAAGGCGTATCAATGCTACGCATGGAAAGTTTATCACTATCTGGAACAATTTAACCCATTAATTATTCTGAGTGTTGGATGAGCAGGAATAAACCTTAGTTTCTAAGCAATAGAGTTGCGACGGCTGTTATGTCGGCGGGTTCGTTCATTTTTTGCGAGGAGCTTTTAATGCGTTAAGGTTGCAATTGTTTTTCTATGCTATCTTGACTTTTTAAAATATTTCTACCAGAAATAGTGCGTTCTGATAAGAAACAATGTATTGTTTCCATATCAAGACTGAAATTACAAGTCTCATAGAATCAATTGAATGAGATTTAGTGCAGTGGTTGCCAGCAGAGCGTCTTTATTTCTTGCTTGCTCATTAATCACTTTAATCGTTTAAGCTACGGATATTGGTTTTGAGCTTAGCAGCTCTGGTGAGAGGTGTCCAGCATAATTTTGATGCATATATGCATTGTTTGCTCATTTATATCATCATTTGACACGTGTTTCAGCTGCGGCCATCAGTCCAGGTGCGGTGACCAGCGTGATTGTGACTGATACTTGTGGTCTGGTGCGCTCTAACGCAGGCCTCACACATGCTCTGCAACTCAGCCTTGACGCAGCACCTCAAACTCAGCTTGAAAACCGTAACTCCTCGAGAGTAGCACAAGTTCAGATGTCTATTGGGAACCAGCAAGATGCAGCCGTAGGCTGTCATGCCGCGCCTGCTTCCTCGGCAGATTGTCACGCTGGTAATGAAGCTGTCACCACTCCCAGGGCTATCATCACCAATTCAACGGTAAGTTTTTACATAAATTATGTATCATATACATGATTTTGTGACTTTTTGTTTGATGGTCCAATAATGGGTTCAATGAACTCTGATCCCAGAGATCTTAACTGTTCTGTTGAACGTAGTGCACAACTCTCTGAATACAAATTGTTATTTTAATGAGTATCATAATTATTACAATTATCAGTCTGTCGGAACCAGGGTTGGCGATTTTTTTGATTTTTTTAAAAAAATCAAAAAAATCAAAAATCCAAGATTTTTTTGATTTTTTCATGATTTTTTTGATTTATTTGATTTTTTTGATTTTTTCAACTTTTTTGTCTTTTTGAAGTGTTATTTTTTATGTTGCAATTAGCCTACTAACAATAACAGTATATGGATCATAATGGATGGCTAAAAAGGGCACTTATTGCCTTCAATAATGGCCAACAGGCCAAGGTAGTCTTTACCACTTAGGGATTTTTGAGTAAACAATTATTGGTAAGCCTATTCATTAGCTTTGTAAAGTTTGTATGGAGCAAGGTAATGAGCTAAATATTTACCATTTAACTGGCTTCAATATACAAAAACACTTCAGGAATGCAGATCTCCTAAACATTGAAGAGTCACATAACAGATAGGTAGCTGATTTCATAGTACATTTATACTAAACCATGAATAACAATACCTCAATATAAATTAAAGACTGCCACTCAAAATATTTAAATATATGAAAAAATCAAAAAAATCAAAAAAATCAAAAAAATCAAAAAAATAAAAAAAATCATGATTTTTTATAAAAAAATCAAGTGATTTAATCACATGATTTAATCATTTTGATTTAATCATTGCCAACCCTGGTCGGAACTTTATCTATTGTGGTCTTTTCTTGTAATCTTTCACTTTGAATTTAGTGTAACCATTGCTATAGGGAGTAATGCATATCTTTTGGACATTTACAAGCTAAAATGCTATACAAGAGCCTGGCTGTCGGTCTGAAAATTCTCTTTGGAATTAGAGTTTAGTCTTCGGATTATCATCCTATACTTTAACACGTAAACGACATACGTACTTAATCACAAATCAGGTAAAAATGGCATGAGAAGAAAAATGTACCTTTCTATTTGACGTCAATAATTTGTGAACGCAATTGTTAAACGGTTACTATTCATGCATTCCGACAGCATTTGAGTTCAGTTTTATCTAAGAATGTTTCGTTAAAAAATTCGCAAGAAGGAATTTCAATGTAAGTTTGCTGGGCAGGGCGTGGTGAGCAAGTCGCGCGTGCCGGAGGCGTGGTCGTTGGTGTGCGGGCTCTGTGAGAAGCTCTTCCTGACGCGTGCCGCTCTCGCCGTCCATGTCGTCTCCGTTCACGGGCCTGACCTGCGACACGCGCGTGACTCCCTCACCGCTGCGCTCCCGCTGCCCTTCAAGTCAGTAACACGCGGCCATCTTCCTTACTTTATCCCTTAATTCATCCGTTGATTCATCCCTTGACTCGTCCCTTAATTCATCCTTTGATTCATCCCTTGACTCGACCCTTAATTCATCCCTTGATTCATCCCTTAATTCATTCCTTGATTCATCCCTTGACTCATTTCTTGATTCATCCCTTGATTCATCCCTTGACTCGTCCCTTAATTCATCCCTTAACTCGTCCCTTAATTCATCCCTTGATTCATCCCTTAATTTATCCCATAATTCATCCCTTTATTCATCCTTTAATACATCCCTTAATTTATCTCTTAATTCATCCCTTTATTCATCCCCTTGTCATGCTCATTCGCGTGAGTCTGATGATCTTCCTCAATTTGTCCCTTTTGTCTTCCAGTTTATAGATGATCAGGATCATTTACCAAGTTTTTGCTCTTTTTCCGATGTTCGAGATAGCGACACTTACCGATGTTCATAAATTGTAAGCATGAAAGCCTCTCGTTTCTATGCAGGCTATGTAACTGAAGTTGTTGTTTTGTGCAGATGTCCAGTATGTTATCTGCACTACAGCAGTGGTGAAGAACTAATCGAACACATGGTCCTGCAGCATGCTCAGCACCTGCAGTCGGCGCACGCCGCTGCCACTGCTAAACAGGCAAGTCACCTACAGATTCCAGTGTAATTATTTATTTCTTGCTAATAAAAGTCACTCATTTACGTGTTCGTCTATATACTTTTAACCAAGTTTGGCACAACCTAGTCTTCCGATCCGCAATCTGTCCGCTGTTATTAACGTATTTGTATGTAGCAGACTAGGCGTCTATAGCTGATGAGAGCTGTTGAGTTGTGCTCAGAATAGGGTTAGATTTAAAAAATAATTCTTTACTAGGTTTTTACTAGGTATCGCTTTGAATGATATTCATGCATGCGGTGTTTGGTGCGACTAATTAGATGCAACATTTCTGTGCAGAAGTGTGTTGTGTGCAGCGTTTGCTCCTTGGTGCTGGCCACTCGCACCATGCTGCTGGAGCACATGGCGCTCGCCCACATGGAGGAGATTTCTCGCCTCGCGTCGTCGCATTTATCGAGTCATGCGCCCATTGGTCTTACCAAGTCCAACATTAGCAAACCTCGCAGCCTGGCCTCGTCGCTCGTAGTCCCTCGACCAAATGAGAATTCTGTGATAAAAGTCGATGGAAATCGGACTGAAATGAATGCTAGTTGCCTTGCCGATACCAAAGAAAACACACAGAACACTTCGTCATCATGTGATGTTCGAGAAGTACTACCAACAACGACTAGTATAATCCAAACCACGTCCAACTTTGCCAGAGCTTCGCCTGTCTCGTCTCTTTCATATCCCCTCTTACCGTCTGAAAATCCTGATGCAGCCTTTGGAGCTAGTAGAAATTCTGAACAGATTTCTCGTAGGTCTTCTGACTGTTCATCAGCTGGGAATTCTTCGGCTGTGGTTTCGTCTTCTCTGGAGCTTTCCACTTCAAGTGAATCTCGTGACACCACCTACCATTCATTCCAAGATACCTCCGTTCTAGAACACCGTTCTGACGTTTATATTAAAGACGATGCCATCAATAGTTCAGTTCAGAAAGCTTCAGGTGCAGACAGATTTACGTCGAAAAACCATCTCGGTGATTCCTTGGACCACAGAGGAGTTAATGCTTCATCACTGAGTCGTACTGGAAACAGTCAATTGCCTGTTCAAAGAGAATCTTCTAGTCAAAATAATTGTGTAGATACGTACGAAGAGAAGCGATGCAGTTACATGAAGCCTAGCAAGTCTAGTAAGTGCTATTAGGCTCGCATTATTGATAAATATTTTGAGAGAAACTGTTTTAAATTATAAAAAACTTGACGGGTACTGTTAAAAATGGGTTAATTTTATAATTCATAAAAAAAATTTCACGGATTAATTCACTTTTTATTTTAAAACGCTCTTGCTTAGTGATGGGTTCAATATAATATAAGTTTACCTGCTAAATGTTCTGTAATTTCTTTTGATTGACCAATCGTGCTTTTGTTTCACAGAAAACAATGTGCTAAAGAACGATGCCCCTCCCAGTCTCGAGTGTGGTGTGTGCGCGGAGCTTCAAGAGACTCAACAGAAACTCGTAAGTGGTTTTTGCTCAAATTTTCGGCGTGTATTAAAATAAATTTATATTAAAAATAAAGTTGTATTAAAATAAATTTGTTTGGCACTGGGAAGCTTGTAGCGCTCTACTGTAATATGTATGGTCTGCTGCTAAATCGATTGTGCATTGCCATAAAATGTGTGTCAATTGGCTTTTAGTTCACTTTCTTAGATCATTTACCTTGGTAGTTGTGAATAAAATAGCGATTAGAATATTTATGCAGATTACAGTTTAAAAATTGGCCATTTGAAAGAAAACATCGATGTGACATCATTGCATGAATGTTCGCCGCATCTACAAAGTAGAATCAATCACTGGCGTACTGAAATAATGCTATTATACCTACTATTCACGCGAATGACATCAATTATTTATACAATTCAATTCACGCATTCGAATTACGACTGTATATTTAAATTACTGTGCATTGTCGATGCAAGCATGCCCCGCATAATTGGTAAACGTGTTAGAATAGAATAGTAGTGTCAGCATTGAAGAAATAGGCCCATGGCCTGTTGCCGATTCTTGAATTTTTCGTGACTTGGTAAACAAGGGATCCGCCCTTCGGAACCCGATCTTTCCATAACTGACGATTGATTGAGATAGCTGCTGGACTTATTGCCTGGTCCGTAATTTGCTAGGCATTTTAAGACTTTTAAGTTGCGATATGATTTAGAGGGAACGCGTTTATAACTTTAACTTCAAGTTGCATCATCATGCTATCATTTGCAATTCCTAGGGGTATCATTAAATCATCATCATCTACAACACGGCTGAACTGTTTGTGGGTTGCTATACACGAGATTGGATCGTTCTGCAGATAACTGTTCCTCTTATAGTTACAGTTTATTTAGAAGAATGTAATTATTTCCAACAGATACAGCACTACGCAGAGCAGCACGGCGTGCAGCGAGATGCTGATGGTTGCCTTCTTGATCTCGGAGTTCCCATTGACATCAAAATCAAGGTAAGCTTAAAATATAATGTATTTTTGGTTCTTCAACCAATAAATCAGTTGAATAATGTCACAGTTCTTTAATTTGTAGATCATAAATTATCGAAACTGCAAAATTGTTATTAAAAATACTTGTACACTTTTTTCTACAAAACCGAGGTTCTACATATTCGGTCGTTCGTATGGAGCTGTGCAACTGTCATTAAATTCTGTTCTTAAGTGGCGGTAGAAACTAAACTACGGTTCAAATAATTATTATGTGGTTGTTTCTTTACAATTTTGGCTCAGCTATAAAGGAAAATTGAGAATCAAACTACTTAGGGTCGAGAAACTAAATAACGAAAATAGTATGTGAGAATGAGAGAGAAGATTGGTTCCGTTTCACCCTATGGAAATAACAAAAGCACCTAATAAATAAACGTCAAGTTAACCGTACCTTAGTTGATATGAGTTGATGTCTACTGGATACCATCCATAAGAAGATAACAATGCCCTGATTTGGAGTGTCTAGACCCGAATGTACAGTCATTTAATTTAAGTATAGTTGAATCCTCACAGTTGTTTATTAAAGACCTGGGATCGTCGATACCTTCTTGCAGTTTTTTTCACTTATATGATGAGCAACCTCGATTATTTCGCAAGCTTGGTATCCTATCTACCAAGTGTTGTAGTCGAATTAGTTTTGGGGTTTGGATAAACAAGATTTGGATTTTGAATGAACAAGATATGGGAAAATTGCTGTTAATGAATCTGAAAACGACCTCCGAGTCAAGATGAATGTTGACTGATTGAATTAAGGAACAAATATCAAACTTGAATGGATTACTAACGATTAACATGCAAATACATGTTAGTATAGGCATAGCTCGTAGTCTCCTGGTGATGATTCATGTTCATGTTCCCAGGACACGGCGACACTTTTCTCGTCTCCTGAGTCTCACCGACGCCAGCTGCCCCAGAAGACTGTCTTGATGAGACCCAAGCCTCCCGTTACTTGCGTTTGTAAGGTGTGTGTCTGCCTCTATTTTGTATAATGCAGCAGTTAAATACTTGTGATGATTGCTTTGAAAACAAAATACAGTAATTTATTTTTGACGAGTTTGAGGCTTGTTATGTGTGATAGATTAAACTTAATTCATTCGCTGCTTGAATCGCGGCATTTATTGACCGTTTCTGCAGAATTTAACTCTAAATTTAATAAAAATCTATTATTTGGCCAGATGAATTATTTGATAATGAAATTGTTTTATTTATGATTGAAGGATACTCAACAGCTGAAGTGAATAAGTGTGATTTCCTGACGTAGTTTGTATTGACAGGATAAATGAGAGGTCAAAGAAATTCTGACATTAACTTTGTTCGTCAGGAGTGCGGAGCTAAAGTGTGTGGAGAGTCGCTAAGTTCTCACCTGCGGATGTCGTGCAGCAAGTTCTCTGGTGAGCCATACGTGTGCGAGCATCCTGCGTGCGCCGACTGCCTCCATGACGCCACCTTCACGCAGGTGCTTTCATGTTTTTTTTAAGATTGAATCATGATTGACTGCGATCTGAGTCACATGTTCTGTAAGATCGAATAGTGTGTTATTTGATCATCCAAACTCTTCAGAAAACTTATTTTCAGTTTTGTTATGATTCATTATATAGAGAAGAGAGTTCATGAAATTCAAAAGAATTATTTTTGATTCTTAAAACTCTCATCCTGAGTTTTAGTCCAAACAGCTCTAATTTTCTTCAAACTTGAGCATTTTGTGAAAGTATTATTCGAAATCTAGTTGTCTGGCATACCAATATGCGGTGATCCTTTTTTTACAGCCATGACGGTGCGCTGAAATGAATTATTTTCTGAATTGAACAGGCAAGCGATTTGTTCGACCACGAAAGCTCGAGTCATCCTGAACGTTGTTGTGATGTGATACGCCGCAACTTCCCCTCGCTTGCCGCCTGCCAGACTTTTGTGAGCGAAGAGGAACAACGTCTAGGGTCAAAGTTCGAGGATCACCAGACTTCCTCGAGCGCCTCTGGCAGAGTCAACACGGCTCTTTTTGAGTATAGGATCTGCGAATATTATTCTCAGCCCTATACGGTGAGTCCCGTCATCCTACTCCTTGAGAAATTTCAGACATCCTACTTGAAAAACTGAGTGCAACATCTTCTGTGTTAGGCGTAAAATTGGAAGTTATAAAAAAATATACACTGCTTCAACTTTTTATGGCTCTTAATTTCAGAATCTTCTTTTTGAAAATTGAATATTTTTGTCGTTTTTTGGCGCAGTTGTAAACTTATTTTCGGCTGTTAGCTTATCTGTGACAATTTTTAAGTTACGTGTTATTTTTTGAAAATAAAAGATATAAATAAAGAAAATAAAATAATTAAAAGAAAAGGATAAGGAGTTAGACCATTTTGAATTTGCGTAGGTAGAATATTGGTGCCCCTTCAATTTTTGTGATTATTTTCCACTTTAAAATTTGTATTTGGTAACATTATTCCTCAAAATTTCAGGAAGATTTACTAGAGTCAGGCGAAGACTTGTCGTGTGGCTACGTGAGGATCCGTTCTAATAACAGATGCATGGCGCGGCTGCATCTGCGGGTTCAGTTCAACAAGAAGACTGGAGAAGCTAACGGTGAGACGTTACTGTCGTACTGGCCTCGGCATAGTCACAATGTTGGAGAGGCAAGGCCTCGAAGAAAAGTCAATTCTCGTCGACAAATATTTGGTGCCTTGCCACAATCGAGACCTTCCACGGATAATAAATTAGCGTCTAATCAAGAATCACTGGCGAAAATTTCTCCTCCTTCTAACAAAAGATTTGCAGATTTAGGCGACTTGAAAAATGCAAAAGATACTTGTTCAAACGAGAGTTCGTCGTTCTCAAGTGTGAGTTACGTTGCAGACGGTGTAAATAGTTACTCTTCTTCATCATCAACTCCTTCAAGTGTTGAACGATACAGGATTGTTGATCAGGCTATTGATGGTGGATCTTACGGGAAACAAGTATTAGTTTCAGCATCCAGTTTTGAAACGATGGACTTCACTATGGCTGATGATAAATCAGTTATTAGAAGTAATGAACAATACCAAATTATTAACACGTCTGATGCAATGATAGGGTCTCAACATGGCACTATGAGTTCCGTGTTAGCGGGCGAGGGCCATAAACAAAACGTATTAATGGTGCCTTGTAGTGACGGCAGCTATGAGGTACAAAACCAGGGCATGTTCATAGCTGATTGTGATGAGGGCGACATAATGATGCACAACACGGAAGGAGAAACAATGGAAGAATCTTCTGATGAATACGTACTACCTGCAGATGAGAATGAATGGGAAAAACTCTTCCATCATTTGGCCGAGCGCCTTCAAAGTGACAGCGCTGATGAAAGCAGCTTGTCGCTCCAGGACCGCGCTGAGGCACGAGAGATGATGCGCTTTAGAGGCATCATTACGCACGTTTCCACGATACAACAAGTAAACGTCTTCCAGAAGCTATGCATACTTACCAACACACGCATATAAAAGCGCTAAGTAATTGCATTGGCTAGCCGAAAATTACCAAGGGCATCGATTTTTATTATGGATTCCGTCCGCAGCGTTTGAAATATAAATTTTCTTCTAAGTTTCTTATGTTTGAATTACAATGAACTTTTGACGGGAATGATGTACCATAGAAACATCCATTTTGTTAAGTTATCCAAGCGTGTAAATTCAACTGATAAGTAATAAGAGTGTGGCATATTTAAGTAGAATGCTTTGCTGTGACGTAACTATAATTCTTAAGTGGTTGCGTTGAAAGTGACGATAGTCTTAAAGACAACCGTTGGGCAAACATAGCGAGTCTTATTTTTGAATGTGCTCTTACATTTTCAAATTGAAGTAATTATCTGGAAAATTTTTCTGAGGAACACTTATTTTCACCTGTATGAGAATATTTTGAGGTACGAGTATCTATTTTGATTCTATAATAATTAGCGCAGGCTGTTCTTATCAAATTTGACGGAAGTACAAGTAAGTCATTGTTGACGAAGCTATAGTATTGCACCTGATGAAGAACGAACTTCCAATTCAAATTTTGAGTTACTTGTTTGTATTTAATGTGTTCGGATTTTTTAATAGGCTCACGCTAAATATTTTTGTTCGGTTGCAAAGAGCTGTTTGGATGAAGTTTTCTTTTTATATTTGAGGATTGATGTTAAATATAAAAATCATGAGGATATTATTTTATATTTACAGTGCAGTAGCAAACACATTCGACAATTGAGAAATAATAATTTACCGGGTAGTACTTATCGAAACCTTCTAATTCTGAGGTTGCAAACTATTACAATATAAGGTGGATGAAGATTAAACTTATCTATTGATCTTTTTCGCGTTTTAATGCAATGTCGTCAAACCTCGTTACTGCATATGAACCTCAAGGCGATTCAGCATTCCTGAAGAACAACGTTTAGATTTGATAACGGTCAATAGTGAAAGAAAAGCTTTAATCGTGTCCACTTCATTCCGTGAACAAATACAGGTTTGGTAGTTCAGAAGAAAATTAGTAAACTTATTTGAAATCGCCAAAAATACGAGATCGGCTCTCGGTGTCTTCTCTGATGGCCTTGTGATACTTGGTGAGAACGGGGCGAAAAGTGTACGCCTGGACGTCTTCTTTCTCTCTGATCAGTTTCTTGATTTTGGTCTCGAGCAGCCTGAAAAAATTATATGGCAAGGTTTATATTATCATATCATTGCATTTAGCAGCAAGATGGCTAGTAATAAACATTAAAAATATAATATTAATTGTTGCATGATGTAGTGTCAGAAGTTATTATTCACCTCATTTGAGCCATGTCATCTTCTATGTACAAAACGTGAAGCTTCCTCTCGTAAAGCTCCTGATAGGAAGGCAATATGTACTTTGCTATCCAGCGTGTAACCGGGTGCTGCGGAAACAAGTAACTTGATTATTGAACATCTCAGACAATTATTCTGAATAATTGGGTATTTTCCAATATAACACTCAAAATTTCAACTTCAGCAAGCTTCTTGTCTGATCTACCTACAAGCTACAAAATAGTATCTTGTACTAAGAATATAGTACAATTAGACCAGTACAACAATTTGATTTATGCAGCTATTATAATACAATTTTATAGCTAACCCTTTCATATTCATGATCCTGCGGTATGTAGCCTTCAGGGATGGGCACCAATGTAGCTGGTCCAATAAATATGTTCACATAGAGTGTGAGGAGACCAAGCGGGATGGCCCCCAACATCACATAAAAGTGAAGCATGTCCTGAAGGGTTCAAAAAATAAATTAATTACAGAAGATCAGGATACAATCGTTCTGGTGCAATACCTAGCTGGAAATATTCAATGAATGATTACAAATCATGTAAGTTTGAAAGTTATATCTTTATAGCATATATTCACTTAAATTATGAAAGGGGTGAATTGGAAAATTGATAGAGTGAAACAATTAATGCAGGACTAGGAAAAATTTGTAAGGCGCAATCAATGGTGTATAGTTTAGTATTTTTCAGACTATCCATGTTTAAAATCCTAAATTTGCATCAAATTCTAAGTAAAAAATGTTTACCAGTCAATAGAGTGCCATTAAATCCAAAGGACTTCAGATATTTTTCCCAAAATAATTTTATTGAATTTTATGAACCATAGGTTAGATTTAACAGTTCAAAATGCAGAGAAAATGGCTCCTACTCTGAAGCAATGTTATCATGCTTAGTATCAGATATTTCTAGATTTGGCACATGAGAGTTTTTAAGAGAAGACTGATCACTTGATTTCCTAAGTTCATGCATTACTGAAAATTTAACGAATATCATTTCCAGACCTCAACAGCTTCTCCTTCTGAGTTGCATGTATGTTTGGACTTATAATATGCATAATTGTATTAAACGCAAAATTAAATGTAGTGTGAAGCTGCATTTCAATTATCTGAATACATTTTGACTTACTTTAAACTTATGCCACTGCCACCTTGATGGTGTGATCTCCATCAACCTTGGATGATGATGGTCTCCATTATTCTTCATGCCTGTAAAATCAATCAATAAAAATTAATTCAAAGAGAATTTTTAATACAAATAAGTCACACTACATAAATGGGGAGAATGAAATTTCATTGAAAGTGCATGATAGAATAGTACCTATGTAAATTAACTAAAAAAGTTAAGTGTCCATCTTTCATGTAACACCTCAGTTCTACATATAATTCTGTCCTAAGGCTGCAAACCTTTGCACTGAACAACATGATTTCCCTACATAATACAAAATCCCTTGGCTTCAATCTTCAAAGTGACATTTTTTGTGAAATTTTTTATAACTTTTAATATTGTGATACAATTGTGCATATACTTTTGTTAACAATTAGACAGGAAAAAATTCAACCAATGGGAATCTTCAGCTCTAAAAATGGTAGGAAAGCTTAAGTCACAGCTTGGAAAGTGGATATAATGAACACCTGCCACTGCCAGACAGATCACCAATTGGCAAAACTATACAACTCTATACAAAATTTTGTATTATATGCATCTACATATTGTTATAGCAAATTGGCCCACTTATTACCAATGTGTACATTTTAAATAAAACCAGAATACATAATTATTAACCAAAGGATTTCCAATGTGCTAAAAATAATTTGATTTAAGAGCCACACTATTTAACTAAAAGGAAATGATTTCCAAATCTCTGTATGCTTCAATTATTATTTACATACAATTGTTTTTGAAACTGCACAATAAAGCAGGCTGCAATGGATTTTGAAATTCTGCCAAAATTCTTGACTTAGAAGCAATAATAATGTAGAAAAAGTCTGATGAATGATGATTACATTATTTATAACCTTAACTTCTTCTTTACAAAATGTTTCCATGGAAATTTGTATCTTTTTAAAGATAAGAAAGTCCATGAAACAATTTAATTTAGGGCACAAGAAATTTGGTGGAACAGGGAAAGGAAGCATGGCAATAAACCAAGGATTTCACACTTCCATTGAAGTTGAAAAATTTCAATGTAGTTACAACTTACAACTTACAAGCCTAATAATTTACATTAAAATATGTTGTCCTGTTGGTCCCAAACATAATGATGAAGCTATCTGCTTCTTCAGTACCTGCAAGTTGCAATTGAGCAGCTTGCTAGATGCTAGTTGCCCCAAAATGTCAATTTCACAGTAATCTCGGAATCTGTAGCTGTAGCAATTCCCAAGCTAGGTAGGCCTTGTCCTTGATAATGGCAAAATGCATGACTGCAAGTTGTCATTTAAGAGGCAATTGACAACTGTAGATACAGAAATTATGATATATGCAATTTCTATATTTAGTAAACATTAAACTGAATCGAGGAGTGTCAACTATTATTAACTAGACAAATATTTGGCACATGCTTATGATGCTTTATTGGCCTCTTTGAATTATAAATGCATATCAGTTCAAAACGATATATTAATGAGCTCACATGTATTGAAGAATCGCGCAGTGATGATGCGAGCTGAGCTCTGCCTCAAAACACTCAAGACCCCCATCTTACTCAATTCAGCGACACCTCTGAGTGCCCAACTTCAATTGCTCCCAAATTCAGGAACAATACTCAGGGTTGCCAGATGGAGCCGAGTGAAAAAGGCCAATTTAGCTCACAAAAAAGGCCACAAAAGGCCTCATTTGAAATTAATAAGAAATTCTTAAATTAAAGGTAGTTCTAACCATTCGCAGGGCATTAAAAAGGCCAAATTATTTTTTGTCAGGCCAATGCCTTTAAAAAAGGCCACATCTGCGAAATTTGGCCTGAAAAAGGCCCATCTGGCAACACTGACAATACTGACTAACTCACTAACCCGCAGGTAAGTCTGTCACCGGTGTCGTTTTCTTTTGCAGGACGTAATCCGCAGAATATGTCTGTAAAAATAAAATTGAATCGAGAAAATAAATATGTTATATTACAATGATGGTCATTATCGTTTTAACGCTGTGAATTACATTCAAAATTAGAATTAAAAAAAGAATAATTAAAGTTGTGGTTGAAAACGACCGGAAAACGAATAGACTTGATTATTGCTCTTCCCCGAAAATTTTACCCAGCTAATCGCGCTGATATTTTTGTTACGTTTGATAATCAGATTATTTCAATTAAAAATCATATTATTTTTTCAAAAAGAATCTGCAATAAGTTCGAGTGATCTGCATTTGCACAATCACTCGACGATAGTGTCATCACTGTCATGTATGTAACTAATTACTCCTAAGACGCTCGTGATCACTGTCTTTAATTTCCTCAACTAACCTATAATCATACTGAGTTTAAGTGCCATTCAAGAATTTTTTGTTAAATTTCTGTCATGCATGAAAATCTTTGTTTTGTTGTTCGCGAACTTATAGTCTTCACACTTCAGACAAGTTCCGGACTGCCTAGCTGAACGTGCTCGACTGCGTTCCTCTTATAAATAGATATTTGCGAGGATTCCGGTTCGAGCTGCGGTTGACGACAGACGTGTGTAAGTTACCTAACCATATAGTAAACTGCCATATTGTTGAACACTTTTTCTTTTGTTACTTTGTACTTGGAAATCAGTCAATAGTACTTTACTTACCTCATGGTGCAGTCTCTACTCTCTAGTACTCCCATAAGATTAAATAAAAAGTAAAGACTTAGTGAAAATTTGAGCCGTGAGGGACATGGGGGACAACCCCACATCCTCAATAAACAAATAAACAACAACAACAGATATTTGCGATGCATTGGCTAAAAAGTGTTGAGTCACTTGAGTGATATAGTGAGTCGGTCAAAGAAGTGCATTACCCAATTAAAAAAAAAATCTCGATTTTTGACAGACAGCCAAAGTTTGTTTATGATTTTTCTCTTGCAGCGACTTTTAGGTATATCATCTTTCATTTCATGCCTCTGGACCCTGGTCCTGGTCCCTGGATAGTCCCATGCTGAATTCTAAATCTACTGCAATAATATGTCAGTGACAGAATGACAGACACAAAGCTCAGTGATAGGTACTCAATTTTGCATTTGACTGAGTTGACTTGAACTGCAAATTTGCCATGCCATATTCCCCAAAATAGGTACCGTAAAATGGGGTAACTTAGACTGGCAGGGTAACTTAGACCACTTTTAGTTTTTTCAACAAAAACCCCCACAACTCAGAAACTATTTTACATAGAAAAATTTTGTCAATGGGCATTAAAGGCCTAGCCTAATACTGAGGCTACATAACACAATAGAAAGATTTAAAAAGTTTGCATATCTAATAGGTTAAAAAATTGAAAATCAGAAAATGTGACCCACGAAAAAAAGCTAGCTATTATTTAAAGCTTGTCAGAGTACCCCCTCCAATTTTTTTATTTTTTGGTTAAATAACTCTAGGTTTTGATGCATTGTAGTAAAACTCTTCTAGTTACATATGCAAATGACAAATTTTAGGAAAGTGTCATAGTTTGCAAATGGGGGGCGCCGCCCCCAAATGGGGTAACTTAGACCACCTAATGTCAGCCCTGACATGGTAACATAGACTGGCTTGGAACTTTGGAAGTTAATATAAAATTACCATATATAACATATTCTATGTTTGACAGCCTATTTATGTTTTTTCTTTATGTTTCAGACTCTACAGAGTCTTATATATTAGTAATTTTAACTTAATATCCAAGCCAGTCAATATTACCCCATCAGGGCTGCCATTAGGTAGTCACATTTCCCTCATTATGGGGCGGCGCCCCCCATTTGCAAACTATGACACTTTACCCAAGTTTGTCATTTGCATATGTAACTAGAAGAGTTCTACTACAATGCACCAAAACCTGGAGTTATTTTACAAAAAAAAATTGATTTTACCACCCGGTCTAAGTTACCCCAAGAGATGGGGTAACAAAGACCATCACTTTTTTTGAAATTACATAAAGACTATGAGAGGCAGGAGCCAGCAATTTATTGTAAGTGAAGCTAGAGTATAGACCTGTATTTTGCATGCTTCAATTCAAGTTTAATTTAGCTAGTAAGAAAATGGCATCATTTACATAAAAAAAGTGGTCTAAGTTACCCCATTTTATGGTATGGTATAGTGGCAATACCAAAGCTCCACAGCAGAGAGTTTTTTAGAATCTTCCTCACGTTCATTTTTGAGTCCTATAAGTAAAGTTTAGTAGACCAGCAATAGCAGTAAAGTTACTAAAGTATCATACCACTCAGAGTCTCAGACCAGCATTATCATACATAAATAATTGGTTAAAATCTTGAGTAATGAAGAAACTAAAAATGAACTGATTCTAAAAATTCTCTGGTAGACTGGTTTGTCACTATACCCCAAATCCCCATGCCCCACGGACACGGAAATGGAGTCATCAGTCGCGGACCTGGGAGTCTGGGAGTGGGACCCAGACTGTAAAGCAGGGCACAACATAGGTCAAGGACTCTGATTTCATCATTTCATGCACCAAAGACGCAGAGTTGGATGCCACTGGAGTCTGGATGCCAATCGCAATTATGCTTCTCCATAAATTGCTATTTACTATCAATATGGCCAATGCGCCATATTGATCTACACTCTACGATCGTAACTAGGAGTTGTAGCGCAGAGTTCCGATGGCTATTAGAGCTACATTTGAGCACCCAAGCATACCACTCACAGCCACCTGATTTAGGTGACCTGAACTACATGCTGTAGCGCGCAGTTCTGAATCTGATTGCTCTGAGAGTTTATATTTGAGCAATCAAGCATTCGTGCTCAGAGCCACCAGAACTACGTGATGTAGCCTGCAGTTCTGAACTTCTGATGGCTGTGAGACTGTATACCATCAACCGGGGCTACTCGGGACAATTTCGAACATTTTTCATTCATAACTTCTTACCATGAAACATTTCATAAACAAGTTTAGGCTCATTTCAAAGCGCTTTGCAAGGGCTATCACATGGCTTCTCCAAAAAAATTCCATATGCTATTCGTAGGGTGCCAGAAGCAAAAAAAGAGTGTCCCAGGTAGCCCCATCGAATGGGGCTACTTGGGACACTTGGAATAAAACTTCATTTTAAAACATTTGAAGCATGCAGAGTGTACTCATCCATTACTAACAGTACTCTGAAGTCCTCCTATTTCATTGTAGATGATGTAGAGGTAGAATAAATGACATTTTCTGTGATTTTTACTTGTTTTTCCTTTATTGATATGATATTACGGATTACCATAGACATTTATTACCATATTATTGATGCATTATTACTGTATTATTGATGCAATATTACCGTATCCATGAACATGCCATTGAGCATTTACAACAACCTTGTCCACTGCAAGCTTCATATCATCAGCCTTATAGTATTTTTTCTGTATTTGTAAGCTTACAGGACGGCTTGTAATTTCACACCATTTTAATTGGGTTAAGTGAATTTACTATAAAAAAAGATTGTGAAAAACATACCTGAAACAGAAAGGAATGTGTTAGTGACAATCATCATATGTTTTTGAGAAATAAATCATAGTTTAGGTCCATTACTTTTCATTCTATGATGCCTGGTGCACAATTCTATACCGTCAAACGTAGTAAAAAGGGATGGGCGGGGTAAATCGGGACGCGCGTCCCACATCTCGTAGAAATGTTGTAGCAGCTAAACTAATCAAAATATTGCAAAAATAAAAATAGTGGCATAAACTTCAACATTTTTACTATCTATTATGTATAAAGCTAGTCAAGAAATCAAACATTTACTATCTCAAAAAATTGCTGAAAAAATCATGATGAGTGTGATTTTGGAAAAGTACCTCTGCTAAGGTCTGGAGCAAAAAATATTCGCTGTATTAAAAAATGTTACTTACATGAAAGTTGCACCCAGGTGTTGGCTTGAAAACGTAATTGACAAAATTTGCCTATCTCATTCCCCCCCCCAAAAAAAATGGCAGCCATTTCCGCACTGCGGGGCTACTTGGGACCCCCCCCACCCCCGGGGTAATTAAAAATGCATTTACAGTACAACCTCAGTTAGCAAGGTTCCAGTTAACAAAAAAATTTATTAACAACAAAGAATTTTGATTACATTTACCTCCTCAGCGAAAAAAATTCACTTATCGAAAAATTAGTCCATCATCGGTTGTCACAAAATTGTACATAGAATGCTATATATAGAATTGTGCACCGGGCATCATAGAATGAAAAGTAATTGACCTAAAATATGATTTATTTCTCCAAAGCATATGATGGTTGGTCACTAAAACATTATTTTCTGTTTCAGGTAAGTTTTTCACAATCTTTTTTGTTATAGTGAAATCACTTGACTCAATTAAAATTGTACAAAATTATGAACCATCCTGTAAGCTTACAGATACAGAAGAAATGCTACATGGCTGCTTCTAATATGAAGCTTGCAGTGGACAAGGTCGTTGTCAATGCTCAATGGCATGTCCATGGATACAGTAATATCACATTAATAATACGGTAATTAATGAATATTGTAATATCATATCAATAAAGGAAAAACTAGTAAAAATCATAGAAAATGTCATTTATTTTACATCTACATCATCTACAATGAAAGAGGAGGACTTCAGAGTGCTGTTAGCAATAGATGAGTATGCTCAAATGTTTGAAATTGAGTTTTATTTCAATTGTCCCTTTTTACCCCATTTCAAGATCAATTCAGGAGCCTTTTATATTGCATCTAGCGCCTTACAAATCGCATATGGAATTTTTTTTGAAGATGCCATTCAATAGCCCTCGCAAAGAGCTATAAAATGAGCCTAAACTTGTTTCTGAAATGTTTCATGATAAGAATAAAGAAGTTATTAACATAAAATGCTCAAAACCGTCCCTTTTTACCCCGTTTGACGGTATCTACTTCCAAACCGTAACTTGGAAACTAGGGACTTTCTTGCAGTTTTTAGAGCAATGAGATTCCTGCTACTGCCAATGACACTGCCAGGGGTGAAAGCAGCAAGAAGAGACCTACCTATATAACTTTATCCATGGAGGATTCATTATAAAAATAGGTTACAAAAGTTGGATTAATTAAAGGCTTGTGCATCACTAAATAACAAAAATAGACAAACAAATACAGTAGAAGTCAATAATCTTCAGCTAACTAATAAATGGGAACTATAAAGTTGCACATGATCAAGAAAACTCAATTTGGCTGGGCCCATCTGTACATCAGTGGCATAAGTAGTGGTGTTACTGCTGAGGGCAGTTACAGTATATCAAAGATCAACTAGGTCATAAATCAATTTAAAGTGTGGAAATCTAGGGGAGGAGCACAGTGCTTGCTGTGATTACACTGGACTCTTTATCTAACATTGCCAACAAGCCGCAGCTTCCTTCTACAGTGTTTAGCCAGTGGAAAGACAGACATTCAAATAAATGACAAGGTCCATGCAACATACTGTGCCAGAATCAGTAAAGTCTTTGAGGCTGGTTCTCTAGGTCTGCTTGTTGGCAGCTGCACCAATCCATGGCCAACAAAACACTGAATCAAAATTATAAGAACTTGATTTTGAATTAATGGTTGACAAGAAGATCCAAGATCAATGCAGGATACTTTCCTTACTAGACCACCACCCAGTTACTGCATTCTGCCTTGCCCACGCAGGCAGGCAGTTCAACCAAGAGTGAATTGGGCAGATTTGTCTTCCAATTAAACTTCAAGTGATGCGTTTGAAGAAGAAAAGTGTGACACTTTGCAGAAAGTCAGGCCAATATAACACTTATGACTGTAAAGTTACAAAATAGGCCAAGGATGCCAAATTGATTGCTTCTAGAATGCTAATTCATGGACTCAAATTTGTCAAGATACAATTGTGGCAGATGGTGGACATTATTAATATCAAAATTTATACAGATTTAGTTTGATTCTATATAGATTTCTGCTAGTGACAGATCCAATCAAAATAAGTTGCAGACACTGATCCTGGCAGTGTCAATTCATTTATTGATATTTTTTCTATAGGACCTGCTAATAAATATTTATGCAAATTTAAAATCAAAATGGCCTGGCATCTTTGAGGAGATGTCACTGTCTCTACCGATGACAACCAAAGTTTCCTGAGTGTCACTGGGCAGATTTTGTCTTCCAATTGAACTTCAAGTGATGCGTTTGAAGAAGAAAAGTGTGGCTGACACTTTGCAGAATGTCAGGCCAATACAACACTTACAGATACAGATTTAGTTTATTATTGCTAACATAATATGTATTTCTCAAACAACAGCTATTCAGATTTTTATTGCTTTCATATTTGTATAAATAATTCTGCTTTCTGTTCTACTTAAACTTTTTTTCATGACAATAAATTTCTAAAACTTTTCAGGTATCATTTTTGTAGAAGTTGCTTTATAGTTGGATGGAAACTTGAACATTAAGGGCTATGGTTTGAAAGGAAGACCTTACTTTTAGAAGCTTTAATTCAAAGGTTATAATTTAAATAATGGCTGACCAGCAGAACAACACAACCTCTTCAATGTCTCGCCCATCATTAAACCTTCCATCTGTTGTAGGTAAGAACTTAATTATCATTTTGACAAATACTGTATGTTTTGTGTTGGTTGACTACAATTGTTATTGAAGTATCAGTTGCTTCTTGAAATTATTCATATATGGGGCATGACATTCAAGTTGGCCACATGATGATATTTAGCCAAATATGATGAGCTGAGTGTAGAAAAGTTGAGAGTCCATTGTTGTTTATTTACTTTGTTGACACTCCTTCTCTGCCCTGCTCCTATGATCATAAAGAGAAGCTTTCTGATGTGTGGCTTTTTGGAAATCATTTATGGTGTGTCTGTCACAACTATTATATCATACTTGCACTCATCATTAATAATTTTTCTTGTTCTCTTCCATCATGCAGGCAGCTCCATGATCAGTAAGTCTTTATACAACATAGAATTTTCCAATTGCAACCCTGTATTTTCATGGCATGCTCACTGCTCACTATTGCAGAAGGCTATGTCAGGCTCTTTGCATTCAGGCTTCTACATTGGATAAATAAATGAAAATGCTAGTCATATAATTATGAACTGTTATTTACAAAGATGAGCATTTACTCTGTTGAAATTTCTAATTATATTTTTCAGCTTGTGAAAGGAATAGTGCTAATCCTTCATGTGGTAGTTTCATGTGTGATAACTGAATAGTTTCAAATTTCAATGCTATCGGACTTTAGGCACAAATAATTGAATTTCATCATGCATTGAATTAAAAAAAAAGAAGTAAAGGCTAAAAATTTTAATTTATTTTGAAAACTTTTATATTTTCTTCAGAATTTCTTTGTAAATACAGGGAAAGGCGAAATTATGGGCAGGGAAAGTTAATTGTGTGGTGTACTACAAATAACCAACGCAATTAAAGATATTTATTTCAGTTATAATTAAAATACCAATAACTGAGGGCAGTAGCCCTTGTTTTCCCAGCACAATGCAAGCCAGAGTTCAGAGTTGTTCCAGTAAATGTAACAACCTGCTCTTGGCTTTACCTTGCTTGTCACACGCCAGTAAGTACCCACATTTCGTTTAGGTGTATTCCGTGAATTTCTTAACTGCATGCCATCCACAACTAATTGTGGCAAAAAATACCACATTAATGCCCTCGGTTTCCTCTTGCCAGCACTGAGCAACATGAACCTGAACAACACTGCTACTGCCAGTGCCGCAACAGTGCTCAGCAACACAGCCGCCCCTGTCTCCACTGCAGCCTCTACGCCTCCCTCAACTCTGTCAGTGGCTTACTTGATGTTTCTTCTGCGACTGAGAGTGCATGCTAAAGTTGTATAATTGCCAAATATTCATAGAATATATATTGCAAAAGGACCATAAAATTACTTATCTATTTATTATTACAAATCCATTAATTTATTCTTTGATACAAATTTTGATAGGAATTGTTAAGATTTGAATGATTATTGTTAAGTCATCATCTATCATCTCTGACTTTGGTCTTATCTTAAATATACTTTTCATTTCAGTGAACTGCATAAAATTCATCTAAAATTAAACATTTTGGAATTGTATTTGTCTTGTTTTCAGCCTAGTGCTGTAAATGTATATGAAAAAAGTATCTAATTTGCTTCTGTATTCAGATATTATGTAGACATGGAACTTGATTTTAATTGTTTTACATTCTATGCATTGCATACGTAATGTGAGTGGTTGTCTTAATTCATTTGGCAAATTTAATTTAGTAAAACTTCAAATCTCAGACTCCATTAAATTTTAAGACTCTGGTTTGACAAGAATCATATATTAGTTTTGGAATTTAGTAGGTTGTTCTTTAAAAACATTATTTATGTTATGAAATTATCTCATGAATTTGTTGTCCCTACGTTGGGTTAAGCTGTTAGCATTGCATGGATGTTGGCACATTTGAAAAGGTACAATTCCTTCCAATCTCGTTACTTAAGCTGTTTGAGGAAGTTCTTCACTAATAATATATTTTATTTATCCATTTACGCTACTGCAAGAAATGTAGAATAAGATGTTTATAAAAAATGGAGCAACATCTCTCCTGGCATAGTTTAGTGCATCCACATTAGTGACATTACGTAGCGAATGTGTAGTGACAGCACGTATTAGGGCTTGTTTACTTAAGCATGACAACTGGGGTATTTATTGAAAAAGAATCATCTTGCTGAAATAACGCGAATAATAATTTTATAAATAGGAATGCAAAAATGGCACGGAGTTTGGCATGGTAATTTTTGAACGGAACTTCAGAATTTTGGTTCCTACATTATTGTGTAAACTGCCCGTAGTTAATGTTCGAATTTTCTTTATGATTACCTTACGTATACATGTCTCTTGCTGCTACTGAAAGTGCCGAACTATTGGCAGTGAAAAGTCTCGGACTGCTCCCTGGCGCAAGACTGCTTCAGTTTGTAGTGGCGAGACTGGGCCTCCAACTTCCCTGGAATTGAGATCTTCCGATGATTGTCCTGTCGTTTTATCTGACGGAGAAAAATCCACGCGAGAACTTTTAGCTGGCGATACCTTCACCGAAGGTAGCCCGTCCAAAGTAGGAACTTCTCGTCGGATGGTTAGAGGCGTCTGTGGTGCGTCGAACATTTGGTGTGACGTGCCAAATGAAAAGAAATCGAAGCATCCTGCTTGGCCAAGGAAACCCATCCCAAAGAAAAGCGCCGAAAATGTGATTGAAACACAGCAGGACAAAAGCATCCCAGATATTCGATCGCGTCGCTCTAGTGATGGTGCATTGAATTCAGTGGCGCTTCTCTCAGATCCGAATTCCCACCCAAGTTTTTCTTGGCTGAACAATTCAACCAGCGTCGAGAAGCCTAGGAGCTTGAATTTCCTCTGTGAGAATTCTAAAGCATTCGTGGACGTTCACAAATATTCATCGGAAGACCCAAATTCGAGCAGGAACTCGAGCTGGTTCGGCAGTGGAGGTTCGACCGACCAGTGGGGCAATCCAATCGTTGCCACCGCACCACCGCATCCTCCCATCAGCGCTAAGAAGAAAGTCATTGTGAGGCGAGTCAAGAAAACTGTCAAGAAGCCTGTGTCGGACGCTCAAATGTCAGGAGATCTCGTGAAAACTGACGTGCTGCTCTCCGAGCCGAATAATCTTTCTGGTTCCGTGCCCGAGGCAAATGAGTGTCTTTCCACCCCACCCACCATCAAAACAATATGTTGTGAAGCAAGTTCCATCAAGACACCTTCTTCTGCTGACAAGACATCTAATTCTACAGAAAACGTTGCCCTCTTGTCGTTGTCTAAACTCAGCAGCGGTTCCAGCAGCGACTCCGGTGGCGAAGGCAGTCGTGAAGAGAAGAGGAGGAACCTCATTCTTCACCTGCCTCCGCATGGAAGTAGTTCTTCCCATCACCACCGCCACCATCACCACACGCCACACCGCCATCACTCCTGCGGTGATGTGGCTCGAGAGCGATCCTTGAAGAGGTGACCGCGTGTGCCACGCTGCGGTGTGCATTAATGCTACGACATCGTCTCTATTTGTTCCGTTCCCTGTAGAAGACTAACTAACGTAGCTCTTAATTCCTAATGTCGTCGCCAATAATTCGTTTAATTTTATTTGTGCCAATTGATGAGAAATGTTCCTATACGCGTTTCACTAATTTTACGCCATTTCCCAGCTGAACTTAACTCTAAGAGTGCGAAATTTCCCAGAAAGACTTAATTCTTGTAATAATTCGACTTATCCATGTACAAGTTTACTAGTAGTATGTGACATTGCCCTGCAGAACTTTAGTAAGCGACATTTCTCTGCTCAACTTCTCTGTAATGTGCTGAAATTTGTTTCCATGTTTCGTTAAAACCTAACACAGTGGTTCGTTCAATAGTCCGCTTATGCGCACAGCTCAACGGCACGAGTCTGGAGCGCCAATCAAACCTCCGCCAGGAACAATGGAGGAAGGAACACCGAGAACCAGACGACGACATTTTTGATGATGAATTCTCCTTTATCACTGATATAGTGAAAAATTCACAACTATCTTTTTTGAAATTTTTATCTGAAAACAACAAAGGAAACAACTTTGGAAAAACGTTAAATATTGGTTTATGATGCTATGTCACTGCTTACCCAAGCTTCACATTAATGAAAAAATGGAGCTTAAGGGATCGTATTTCTTCTACGAAATCTTGCTTATAGTTTTTAAAAATTGTCTCGACCTAGGCTTACTTGTGGGAATGACTTTCCAAGCGTGCTGGATTTTGTGCCCTCGATGCAGAATAACGCGTTCCTAATCAAATGTGTGTTATTGTACTCACAAATTTTTCTTTATTGAATTACGTGTCTAAAATGTGTTGATATAGAAGCCATAATGCTACTAAGTTTTACACTTGTTCGCTTGCTTGCTAGAAGGTCACGAAATAATTGTCCATGTTGATAAATTAATTTTTCTTACTTTCATTCATACTAATTTTCTTTTGCTTGAAGAGTTGTGCTATTGACCGTGTACAAGTTGAACATAAGTTATCTTTTGTAATAGGTGTAATGCTAAACGAGGCCCTTGTACTTCAGGTCATCTAATAGGTAGCGAGTTCATAGCTTCCTGGAGTTGCTGTCATAGTTACAGTGGCTTTGATTGTGGCATATAATTCGTGCTTCATCGGAGATTTTGTGCACTTGCTCATTTGAGATTTGGTTTCAGAGATTTCGTGCTCTCGATCGTTTTCATAGGTGCTACGTGCTTATCAAGCAACAATCTGCACATTTCTATCGATCAAAATGTTTGCGTCTATTGGATCGTTACTAATTTTTTTTGTCTTGCAGAGATCGGATCAGCCGTGGCATTTATCACCTTCAACCATCAGGCAAACTCAAGATATCGCCTGAACTTGTGAGTCACAAAATTAGACATAATGTTCCCAGTATATGACTCTCATTATGTCTGTTTTCAGTTATTAATAACTTGCCTTCTCATTCATCTCTCTTCGTAAAATTAACGTTCTCGTGCTTGTGCTATCCTTGCTACAAATGTGACAGTAGCGTTGGCTAAAGGGAATCGAACCTTCGTTAACTCTTGGGTACTGATTTCGCACTCCTAGGGGGATTGTTCCTGAGCGCCCCACCGCTGAGCTCGCGGTGTCTGACTGCAGATCTCAGTTGTGGGGTTAAGTTATTATGTAGGTAGGATTCCTTACATTCCCCTTCTCTGTCTCTCTCGTGCGGGTGGCCGACGTCCCGTGTAAGCGACCTCTTGTTCGAGTGTCTTCGTTTCTGTTACTTTTCACCTGTCCCTCCTTCTCACTTCGTCTCTTTGAGATGCTAACGCTGCTTCTTTCGAGCCAGTTTCAGCGGGCTGGACATCTGAGACCTTCCACCCCTTGTGGGTGATGACCTATTTTTGACGGTCCCAGGCCTTTATGTACGAATAGCATTGACGATAGTTACTTTATCCGTACACAGAGGATTAAAAAGAGTGTTTGTCTCTCAGCAAGTGGAGTTTACAGCCGACGATTTGCGTGACTTGGGAGAAATCGGGCGTGGCAGCTTCGGTACCGTCAACAAGATGGTGCACCGCAAGACTAACACCATAATGGCTGTGAAGAGGATCAGGTCAGTGGCAAGCCTTCGTAACTCATTGTGATTGAGTGGTGTGAGTTTAGTTTATTCTAAAAGGCCGCAATGGTCGTAGATGAATTTATCAGATAAATGCCGGTACATCTAAACGTGATTCTGTTAACATAATCAATACCTACATTTTTTATGACAAATTTTTTGTCTACTGTGATAAAAAGCTTTGCTTTTTGATTATTCATTCGTCTTTCACGTAAAATTTAAGATTCCTAATTTATGCATGATTTAATTGCGTGTTGATCAGGTCGACCGTGGACGAGAAGGAGCAGAAGCAGCTGCTGATGGACCTGGACGTGGTGATGCGAAGTAACGACTGTCCCTGCATCGTTCAGTTCTATGGGGCCATCTTTAAAGAGGTCATTAGTAATCCTAATTCAAGTGTGCACTCTTGTTGCTGTTGGAGAGTAAAAATGGGGGGCCACCCCGGGTTTTACCCCGCGTCTTTCGCGTATTGATATTGGTATCAAGCCAACTAATACTCTTATATTTGAAAATCGCGGAATGGAGGGTACTTTTTTTACAAACTATTTGGGGGAAACTAAGGTTAGGTTAATTCGACTCAAGGTTGTGTTAATAATGAAAATTTGACCCTGTTACACGCAGTTTGAGGTTGGGTCCCTGACGTCAAGTTGGACCTTTTTGGAAGGCGCTGCTTGAGCACATTGTATAAGACATCGTGGGATGTAAGAGGGTTGAGTTTATTGATATTGAAATTAAAATGTAGGGGGTAAGGGAACATTCTGGTTTAAACCTGTAAGCTGCGTTTGGTTAATTAGCTCTGGCGAAAAATTTGTCATACAAACTACTAATCTTCAACTCTTCTTAGTAACTATCTCAACAATTAAAATTTCTTTATTCATCTCATTAAAATGATAAAATCAGAGAAAGTCACTTGCATCTTGGCAAATGCTGATGAAATGTGGATTTATGATAATTCCTTGTTAATGTGTCACGACGGCCATTCAATAATTAGGGTACTGCAATAATTGTTGAGACTTCTTAATTGCGGTCTATAGCTTCGTTCTGTAATGATAATAATAATAATACTAATAATAATAATTTCGGTTCATAGCTTGGTTGCTGTTGTCTGTGCAGGGAGATTGCTGGATATGCATGGAGCTCATGGACACATCGCTCGACAAGTTCTATAAATTTGTTTACGAGACCCTGGGCGACCGTATGCCCGAGAATATTCTGGGAAAAATCACCGTCGTGGTGAGTTATTTCATTTCCTTTTCAACAATGGAAGAACTTATTAAATATCACTTGCATTTCATTTTTGACCCCCCTCACAATGGATAATACAGCCACATTCGCTTGTGAAGGCGTTAGTAGAACTTAGATGTATCAGCCTCTTGAATGGGGGTTTCTTTTGAGTTAAGTCATTGTTCTAGTTCAACTTATATATTTTATTTATTAGTAAAATGAAATCCATGAGTAATGCAATTGATTTGTTGTTAAACATACTCCTAATAACAAATTGGAACATATTGGTGGAACATTTTGGGTATTGGTGGTTTCAGAGAAAATTAGATGAATGAAAATCTTATTTTGATGTGCGTTGTGCTGTCCACTAACAGCAACATCTTCTTCGCAGACCCTGACAGCTTTAAATTACCTGAAAGAAAAGCTGAAAATAATACATCGCGACGTAAAGCCATCCAACATTTTACTGGACCGCCGAGGCAACATGAAGCTCTGCGATTTCGGCATCTCGGGCCAGCTGGTGGACTCGATAGCCAAGACCCGCGACGCAGGCTGTCGGCCCTACATGGCGGTACCGTGCTGCCTCTAAACTTATCATTTGAATGACAAGTGACGTTGAACTCTTGCTGCTAATGATGAAATTTAATGTGATGGTTACGAAATTGAATAAAAATGCCAGAATACTCCAGAATTTCATCGAGGATGTCTGTAAAAACGAGAAGAAATGTAATTATAAGTCGTTGTATTTTCTTGCCCCTGGGCCTGTACTGGAAAAAAGTTACGGGTTCGTAACTGTATCAGCAAATAATTGACGACTTCTCAAGCTAAGCCCACCAAGCACAGATGAGGAATACGTGTTCAGTGTTCTTAAGCTAGCTTAGGTAGTACGGTTATTTTTATGCTAACAATGATATACCAAGTCTGTTTAATATTGAGAATGTTATATCCAAAGCGAGTTGAGATAGTACGGCCCCTGGCTAATGAATGCTGTGACAATGCAAGATTAAATAAAAGGAATGATTGCTGTGTGCAGCCTGAGCGCATAGACCCAGCGCGCGCGCCCGGCTACGACGTGCGGTCAGACGTGTGGTCGCTGGGCATCACTCTGATGGAGCTGGCGACGGGCAGCTTCCCGTACCCCAAGTGGAACTCGGTGTTCGAGCAGCTCACGCAGGTGGTGCAGGGCGACCCTCCCCGCCTCACTAACTCTGAGAACGGCAACACATTCACGCACGAGTTTGTCGACTTCGTCAATACCTGGTGAGTTTAGTTATCTTGAGGGATTTTACGGCATCTTACTAGTTTCGTGATTTGCTTCACAGATTTTGCTTTAGTAGGATTTTAGTCTTTAAATTGCATTATTTCGATCTGATTATGTGATGCGTTTTATGCGTTGCTGCAGTCCGTGTGAGGTTCCATTCAGACTATCCATTCATTTCCATGGGAGCTATATTATTTATTCCATTTACGATTTTTTTGTTCATACATATATGTTCTTTAGAAACGTCAAAAATTGTGTCCAATTTCAACACGAAATTTACTCTGGTTTTCAACTATTGTTCTTATATTCATATGCTCCCCGTTTGTGAAATGTTATGTATTTCATCTAATAAATTATTATTGTAAGGTATATTTTTAATTGATGCCATCTTGCTTCTGTGACCAGTTTGATCAAAGAAGAAGGGGCGCGCCCGAAATACCGCATGCTGCTCGAGCACGAGTTCGTGGTGCGATGGCGCAACGAAGCGAGTGACGTATCCGAGTACGTTAGCGATGTGCTCGACAAGATGGCCAGTAGTGGCCTCCACTACACTTATGATTCCTACAACTATTAAACTTTAGTGGCCTCCACTGCTCCTATGAATTCTACTACTAGAAAGACTCCCTCTAGCGTCTGCCTCATCATCTTGTCAGGATCTTCCAAGTTGGCTTTCCAGCTGACTGTTTCAGCTCACTATTTCAGTGCGCACGTGAATTTTTTTTGCAGTCAAGCTCCTCTAAAATTTCCCTGCCGTCGAGTTTCACTCAAATTTCTTCTGCCGTCGAGCTCCACTCAAATTTTTTCTGCCGTCGAGCTCCACTCAATTTTTTTTTTGCCATCGAGCTCCACTCAAATTTTTTCTGCCGTCGAGCTCTACTCGAATTTTCCTGCAATCGAGCCCCACTCAAATTTATTTGCCGTCGAGCTCATCGCCTGATCCACTGCCCCCGTTCTTCAGGAGCTTGCAACCTGAAGAACCATAATCCGCTCATCAGTCATCATGTCTTGCTTCACCTCGTCTTCGCCTGAAATTAAAGTATGAAGCTCCACTCTACTACTGCCACGACCGTAACTCTGTAAAATGTTTCGCGCTTCTTGTGAACGCATGAAATTTTGATCTTAATATTCTTATTTGATATTGATAATTATCAATGCTTGAAAGTCACATTGTCGCAAAGTCATTGTGTTGGAAGACTTTCTCTTGAAGGTAATCGTAGAAACATAACAGAGTAAAGTGTAAATTATTTTTTTTGCTGACGTCAAGAAGGAGCAAATACGTATTGCGATATCACGATATGCACAGTGCAGCGCTCACCAGTAGATTACCTCCACTCAAGATCATGATTTTGGTGCTCTTGCATACAGGTCTAAAAATGGGAGTCATACTCATTACTTCATTACGTTCAGTGCCTATTGTTAATGTATATCTTTCAGGCGGTACGTAGGCTTACACAGATCGTTGCGATCTACGTCTTGAAGGGGTAGTTAATCCTGGTTTGTTTATTATTTTTCCTGTTGTCTTCATTTCCGGTATACGTCCGGTATATACTGTAGGCATAGTGTCGGAAATATGGGTCATTTTGACTCGAAGACTACAGAGTTAAAAGTGTGACTTGCGTTGAATTGTAGCTTCAATAGGGCTGATCCTTTCGATCACCTATTTGGGAGCATGTTTTGAGACCTATTTTTTATGGTTGCCTTGGTGCTTTGCTTGGGAGCTCTATTTTACATTGTCTCGCCTCGGCCGCAGTACCTAACTTGTCATATTGTGACCAACAATAAGTTTGTCAAGCGAATTTTTCTAAGTCGTAAAAATTAAGCTGCAATTCATTGAACAAGCTACAAATTTGAAGCCTTTGAAAATTATTTTGAGACATTTACATGGTATTATTCTTGAATCTATTTTATGCATCTTGAATTACGTATTTATTGAGCATCAAGTCTACCTTTAAAGATGGAATTGAGTAGCGGTTTTTTTTCATTACTGAATACTATTTGACGGTTACTCTAATAACCAGTTATTTAAACACGAATGGCATTGAGGATAGTTCATGTAATCGTAGACAAAACGGTTAAATTATGTGTGATTATGAATTGGTTTCTTTGCAGTCGCATCATTTGAGTTAATTATTTGCTGTGCATTCTTTAGCGATGCTACCTTTCATCTCGGACGATTTTAACTGACACGGGATGTCCGTGGGGGGCATTTGTTGATATTTCTTGGGCATTGACTTGATTCCTATAATCTTATTTCCAGTGTGATGCTTTAAACTTGTATTTTTATAAACATTTCTTGGTATTCTATAACTTTCGAGCATGTTCTTTTATTGATATTTTATGCTAGTTGAAGCTTTCTCCTGCGAGCTATGAGTATATCTCTCTGCTATATCATAGCCTGGATCGTTCTTCCTTTTCATGCGCGTCCTCCTTTTGATGGGCTAACGGGCATGGCCATGTGTATGCCATGTCGAGGTCACCTCTGGTCGTGTTTGACGTTAAAATTGTATACAATATTTTCGCTAATTGATCATTCATGTGTTCATGTTCCCAAACCTCATCAATGCTTGATCTATGCAGTCGTTCTATTACCGTTATTAAGGGTCATATTTATTCGTAAATCTCTTGTAAGACGTCTCATTCTCTATTTTTCTATCGTGTCCAAATGTTGGAACCATTTCAGGTTCTGATGAAGAGATCATAGCTGCCTATGGTAAATTCACATCAAACAACAGACCGCTTTCCTGAAGAATGATCTGCTAAGTCCTTGCATTCTCTTCACTCTTAAACTATGCTGGTGATATCATATTTTTCAAAGAAATTTACTATAAATTGTGCGTTCTTTTTTGTTTTTTCGGTCATACATTGTAGAGACTATTTGGAAATGTGCACAATATTAACAGAATATAAAATATTTTGATAGCGTTGCTCTACGAATCTTGTACACCGTCCAACACTCGCGAGTGTTCAACGTATCCGTTGTTATGTGGACCATTGGCTCGGGGGATTATCTTAACTTCCCAATACTTGTACCAAAGCTTCATTAAGAGCTTGAACAAAATGTGTTGTACTCGTTACTGTATGATGTGCAAGTATTTTTCTAACTTTAGAGTTCGTGTTGAGACGTCCCAATGATAAGTAAGGCTTCGTTGACTAGAAACTTCCCTTGAAATTCTCCTCTCACCATTCTAGTTTATTCTTTACCTTGTAGGCAATCCGGTGTCCGGTTATTTCAACTAGTTATCTAGGGTAGTGTAAAACAACTACGTTAGTGTCATGAGTAGTCAAATTTAGCTTTCACCTAACGTAAACTTGCCGTTGTAGGATAGTTGCATTTGACCATTAACAAGTGTTTTTCTTAGAGCGTTCTGGTAGTCATAGGGAAGTGTTCTTCGTGTTCATTAGTACGAGGCTCATCAGCTCCTTAGATGTAGTTAGTTACCCTGTTAAAGTCATCAAACTTTGTTTATAAATTAAACCTTGTATATTCGGAAGATAACATCGTCTAACTGAAAAGTGTTAATTTTTGTATCGTAATAAAACTTGTACTGTAGCTGCTACAGTGGCAATAATCTGATACGAATACGATAACGTTCACGTCCCGCACGACCGACCTCGATGTTTCGCACCAGTCAAGTCTTTGCTCAACTACCAGCGCGCGATACTGACAAGTCTTTGTGCGAGGCACCGCACAACCGATCGTAAATTTTAGAAAAGCGCCTCCAAAAATTTACAATCATATCTGTTAACTTTTTAAAATTGTTTCAAGTGATTTTAGGTTTAGGTCGCTTACTTCATGAATAGAACGAAAGTGCACATTAGCGTTTATTCGTCCACCATTTTCTCGTGTGAAATTTTTAGCGTACCTAGGTTTTGCTGTTAATTTGAAAATGATGTGCAATTCAAGTTGAAGTGAAGGTGTTAAAATACTAACATTGATGTGATATCATTACAACCTATGTTGGGCTTTTACGGCGATTTTTATATGGTGATGAACCGCTCATTTTAATGACTCGTTCATTGTCCAGCGAATTGAATGCTCCGGTAACATGGTCTACCTTACTATATTGAAAATTGTTCCGACTTTTCACTTGTTGCTGAAACATGTATTAGATTTTAAGGATTCAGTTTACTGCATTGAATCGGCTCACCATTTATAAAATTTTCTTTTATGTATATTATCGTTTTGCGCAGTTAGAGCGGATATTTTCAGATCCTATCACGTCACTTGAGGAATTGAACGGCCACCCCGACGGTTGGACAAGTAAGAAAATGGCATCCGATGTTTGACTTGATCATTGATAACACCTTGTAATTAAACGCCTATTGAGTTGAGACACAAGGTTCTTATAAACCACTATTCAGGGTGAAAGAAAAAGTAATCAGTTTGTAGAATTAGGTTACGTGTAGTGTTCAAAGAAACGAGAATTAACGGATAAAATTCTGCCGATATTATTTTGTCTGAAACCCATCGACTAATGTGGATCCTTCAGTACCAGAATCTACGACCAGTCATAGAGATAACGCTACGTAACGGCGATTTCTATCTTGCTCACTCTGCATCACTTGGTAGTACTACTTGAAGGGATTTACCGTGTAACGACTAGGATATAATCTACTATTTAATGATAAGTGCAATATCAATGAGGCTCTGTCTGTAGACATAGCTATAAACTTCAGATTTATTTATTCCTATTAGGTTGAATAGTGGAGATTTTACATCGTTCCTTCACTCAGTTTGTTTTGAAGTAGCTTTAAATGTTAAACTAGTTTTCGCGTAATACAGGTTATGTTACAAGGTAACGCTGAATTATATATGTTCTTCTATTGTTATAATCCATTACTGTAATCTCACTTGTTCAGTTTCGACAATCGAATTTTCATACCGTTGAATTAAGCTTTGTATAGCAGGTCTTGTGGTGGGTCATAACGAAGCTTTTCCTGAGCGTCTCGGACAGCTTCCCTGCTGCTGCTGCTGCTGACAGGTGTATCGCATGTTCTTGTAATCGTAGGTAAACTTTGGCATTCTGGAGGGGCGTAAGCTCATTTTCTACTAGTTACGTTGGACAATTGTGTTGAACTGCAAGTAAAAAGTATCGCATACGAATGGTTTTTATTTTGCCTTCGAGTTCACTCTGGACATTTGTGGCAGATTAAGAATTTACAGAGAAGCGTCTTTTCGTTTCAAATAATTGTGTGCACGCTCGACACGGGTCCAAGTAAAACGGAAAGATATTCCCGAAATTATCTAAATTTTTTAAGCAAGAAACATGGTATAGTTGTACGCATTTTTTATAGATATTCTCGGGAAGATGAATACGAACGTAGAGTCGAGAATTCTATGACAACACAATTAATTTGTTTCAGCTCAACAGCGTGTGTTCAAATGTGTCCCAAGGTAAGAACGCAACACAGTGAAGCTTTCCGTTACCATGCAACATCATTTACTTTCAAGCTAGTCAAACTTGAGAATTACACAATTCAGAAGCTCTTTCTGCTGCCAAGTGCAGACACAAGTCAGACTCGAGCCACAGTTTACTTTTCCTGCAGTGCTCAATGTAAAGGAATATCAAACATTATCTAGGATGCATTAATCACACACCTATTTATTCACAAACTCAGGTGGGTATTAAGCAATATTTGGAATTTGTCCCAGTAATGGGTCATGCATCCTCATAACCTAGTGCAAATGTTTCCTACTTCATGGAAACCGTACTTCAGCTTAATATAAATTTCATTTTATAAGCAACAGAAGTGGGTTACAGGTTGACCGAGATCAGAATAACTTAGCTGGAAGTAATAAATTGTTTACATACCAAGGGAAAAGCCCGATTGGAAAATACAGAAACGCTGATTATGTTTAAAATCCCAAGTGGACTAGATTGTATATCTGAGCTCGGGACTGATCGAGTTAAAACAATTATCAGACAACAAAATAAGTTTGTATCAAGAGATTCTTTCAAATGCAGACTCTTAAAAACACGGTGATGGGTAGAGAATTTTTAACATGGTCTGAATAAAGACTAGTAATTTGCTTGCGAAGAAATGCAAGTCTTCATTTTAACACGAAGCAAGTTTTGAACTTATTCGTCGGTAGGCATTAAAAGGCGAGTATTTAATTCCAACCTCAAACTGTACAAGAACTACAATTTAAAAATATCTACTCCTAGCACAACCACAGCGCTAGCACTAAGCAAAATATCAGAACAAATCACATTAGTTACAAGGGTTCTAACAAAATAAAGAACATCGTGACGCGCCCGGAAAAGATAAACGTTATTTGATATCTTCATTTAGAATGAATTTCTATTATAAATTGATAGAAGACTGGAATAGAAAAGATGTTCATGATAGAATATCAAGGCAACTCATAACAGTAATAATATATAATTCATCATTTGCGACGTGGGTTGTATATTAAACAAGTTATAATGATCACACGATGATACAATAGTTAAGAAAAACACATTCAGCTCTCCACGTGATGTACGGATAGTAAATTTAGGAATTTGAACTCGTAATGGTCAGAGTGGAAGCGGCCCTCTGTTCGCCTCAGGTGCAAGCTATCGCCATCATATAATGATTTAATGTGTTGCCATTGTCGGTATCTTCAAACAGTAAGTTGCATTAAAATGCCCCATAGGTAACAAATGAGGACACTAGTAGAATATACAGAAACTACACAGGACTAGACGAACACGAGATATCAAGTACTTCCTTAGTATGTATGAAAGCGTATTTGCATTGTGCCTAGCGCACACGCATAGTAACTAGGTGAACGATGAACTTGCTCATGTAATTTATAGTAATAGTCCGTAAATGGGGAAGTAATTATGAATTTCAAAACCACATACAGTAGAAATATCATGCAGAAGTGAAGATCTAGTGCTACCAAGCAAAAAGTGAACTAAGTGTTTCATAACGCAATGAGTGACCGTTATGAAACCAATGGCACAAATCTCAGTTTCTCGTCCCACGTATAAGGTATAGTTTTTCTTCACGCTCTCCATTATCTTGCTCATGTATACTGCCGTCTAGATTTCATCTATTGAGCCCAAAAAAGTATGTGCGTTTCCAACAATTTTTCGCGGTCTCTTCACCACATGTGCGTTTCCCTGATCTCGCCAATAATCACATTTGCGTGTTGCAGAGCCTGTAACGAAAAAAAAGTTAGATTTCAGAATAGAATGTTCAGGATAAATTTGGTTATTATGCTCAATTCAATTCAGGTAATTAGGAAACGAATCTTTTTGCAAACGAATCCATTTGTCAAGTTGGAGAAAGTTGATCTTTTAATGAGACTTCGATGTCCGATTAATAGTTGTGTGATCAAAAATATTGTATAAGCTGGCGCCTTTTCTAATTATAGTTGCCTTTAATTTTTTAAATAAGCAACGCTAAACCTGTACCTCCAACCTACTAGCGAACATCACAGGTTACTACCTTGAGCATAGCCCTCTCAAATCTAACAATAAACAAAGTAATAGAGGACACACCCCCAAACTGCAGCCATACGGAAAAAATGTTGAACAGAGCAGAATTGGTACACCTTACCAGACTCTGCTGTGGCCACCATCCCTCACTGAACTCCTACAAACACCGCCTCGACAGCACCCACACAGACTTGTGGAACAGCAACAACAAATAGTACCTTGAGCATTTCGGCGGCTTCTTTGCGCCGCTGTGCGACCTCCGGACTCTCGGAAAGTAAGTCGTCGATTTGGTCCTGCCTGTAGAGGTGCTTCACGAGCTCGCTCTGCAGGTTGTCCTTGACGTGGTTCACCAAGAAGTGCATCACGGCTTTCGGGACTTTGTCTTGGATGCTTTTGCGCACAATGTAGAAATATGATTTGATGAGCCGTTCTGAAAAAAATATTTGAATAAATATCTTGAACATTTTAAAGCTAATATGAATAGTATGTTATTCGAAAAAGGGTTAAAAAGGCATCAGAATAACATGATAGAATTTATCTGAATGGCTGTTATCTTATACAAAGCAGGACCCGAAAATAAATTGCGCAACAATTAAAATAAGTCCAAAAAAGTAATCAAAAAAATTGTGTCACATAGAAAGTTTGACACTAAAATGGATTATCCCACTCTTTTTCTTTTCGATATGTAATAGCGATGTTACTAGCTCTAAAGATTCCGAGTTATTCCTGATACTGACCAATGAGATCGACGTCCCTAGTTTCCCGTTCGGTGAGCTTCCTGATGGGGTGGTTGGGCACCTCAGGCAGCAGGTTGACCGGCTTCTGTGGCGACAAGAGGCCAGCAGCACAGTTAAGACCAGGCATGGAGTGCAGTGGCAGGAGCGGCACAAGCGGCCGAACACTTGCCGAGTTCTGCGCTAGCGACTGTAAGGTGCGCGGGAAGCCAGGCAGGTTAAGGCAGCACAGGCATACACAAACCCGCGGTGTCATTCACACAAGCAACGCAAATGAAAGATAAAATCACACAGGATTCGGATTCACAAAAGTAACGCAGATGAAAGCCCAAAAGGCTAACACAAAATACAGCCAAAACAAACGTGAATACGAATGGAAACGCACAGCAACACATAATTACGTTAGTTGAAGCATTCGTAAAACAATACACCACAATCTCATCGAAGTTACCGGAGCATGAATTTGTCCAAGCAGGTATTTGAATGTAAAAATAACACAATTAATAAACCAACAAAATCAAAATGTTCATTAGGTTTTGCGAAGCAAAGAAAGAAGGAATGGGTAGGGGAGAGAGAAGGGAAAGAATTACGTACTTCCATTAACAATTGTCTCATAATTAGTGACACTTGTTGATTAAAAAATAATTTCAACCTCATCACTAAATTTAAGTCAGCATTAGGTGAAGATGGAAAAACTTTCGATATGTTCAAGTTAGATTAGGTGCTAGGTAGGATTAGTATAGATAAGCTGGGACATTCTACGCAGATAACTATTTTTCTGCGACGAATTATACAAAATTCGTTCAGGGGAAAAACTCAAGGGCTACAACTGCACGGAGTGTTTTAATGGGTAAAATAGAATACACTCCGTGAAAAACACTATGTGCTACTTAGCAGCGATTACGAAAAAACTGCTATCGAGTAATGCACACTGGTAGATTTTTTGTCCGTCTAATAAGCTTTGTAAAAATCTAATGCACTGATCGTTAAATATGTTTACTTTGTCTTGTCCACGAACTTGGGGAATGCGTACAGGAGAATCAATCGCAATGGGAAAAGCATTTTCAACAGCATTGGATTGGTGTAAATTGTGTATTTAAGGCATACCAATTAAAAAAAAAAGACGGAGACGAACTGCAGCTCTCATCTAGCACAATTGCACCTCTCTACACGCAATTATACAAGGTCACTGACAGGTATAATAACTTTATAAAGGGTTCCTTGACACCTATTCATCCGAGGCATTTCAGCACTATATTATCAATTCATCATTGGGGCATTTCATCATGATGGCATTCCAACATAAAATTGCATTATTGCATAAAGTGCCTTTGGCAAACATCAGTAACTGCATGTTATTTAGATTAGGTTAGGGTAAAATGATAAATGATGAACTGTCCCAACGACAAAATGCGTCAGTGATGAAATGTCTCCTATTAAAAGGTGCTTTAGCGTTCCTATTAAAAGGAACACTTCATAAAAAGTATTCCTATTAAATGGAACACTTCATAACACTGAACCATAGGTAAACGCCTCAATAAACACGACCTAGCAGTGTTATGGTTGTCAACTACGGTCGGATAAAAAACAAATTGCCTTGACAGAACCTTATTGCTAATACTGGGAGCAATTTATCAACCACTCAGCGGAAGCATTTGCCTTGTTATTTTATCTAAGATTAAATTAATAATATATAAATTTACGCATTTGGCAAGGAAGCACCAGCTTTGTACCTGCGACTGCTTGGCATCGGCATTTGCCACAGCGGAGGGTTTACGAGAAGGGACTCCCTGTTCAGATTTGCGAACGGCAGTTGCGTGTTGCTAAGCACAACCAAAAAAGTATTTGAAACTACAGCATGGTATAAACATGAATATTCTGAATTGATAATCGTTCAAACAAATAATTGAATGCTTCTGAATCATACTAATCAATCTAAAATCAACAGCGATTCATTGGACCTACTTGCTTGATTGCAGGATCCAAGATTGCAATTTTATAAAATGCTTCAAATAATGATAAGTAGTAGTACATGAATTCTTAGTAGGTTTATTAATAAACTTAGATCGCAACGCGTATAAACAAACTATCACAAGATGGCAGAAGGGCAATGCGATAGCAATTGATGCATCGCAAGTCCCATTTGGGCTTATACACCAATGTAATGACGCAGTAAACACCATGCCAGAAAACATCATTTTGAGGCAGTAGTGCATGAAATAAATGTTTCTGGAGGTACGAGTTTACTATATATATTATCATCAGTTACTACTACTACAAGAACATGAATGTTTTAGTCAAGAACGAGGAGTTGCTTAGTCGCTTATGCGGATATCATTGAAGAAGATCGTAACATAAGGATAATTAAGGAAATAGCGTGAGGATATATGCCCACTTCCTCCGCATTAAAAGGCAAAAAAAAAAAAGACTGAAGAAGGTTTGCACTTGCCGAAATTGACAACATTGCACGAAATTTTCTGTATTCGTGGCATAGGATAAAGTTTATGCCGACGCAAATTAAGGAACTAAAATGTTATTTATATAGATATGATAGATCTTCAAAATATATGAAAGATGTATCGAAAAAAATCCTGGATGCCCGGCCGAACATGTCTCAGTAAAGTTAGAGAACAAACACTAGACTGACCTGGACATTTTGAGCAGAATGTTCAGGTGACTGTTCTCTGGACTGTTCCTGACTGTCCACAGAAGCAATGGCTGGATCAGGCTTTGGCCCAGCGATGAGAGAAGCCAGCCAATTGCCGCCCTGCCCGTTCCCAACAGACTGCACAGATAATTATGTATTACCCATCACAGCCCAAGTAATACCAGCAAAAAATAAAAGCAAGCTCACGAAATTGAAGAAATGTAACATCTAACTAACAGCAGGTGCCTACAAACTACGAACATACAACAACAAAATGAAAAAAGCAGGAATTAAGAGATTTTAGTTAGAGAAATGAGGCTAAGAACAAGTATGTAATTGTTTAGACAAGTACGAGATGCTGAGGATGAATTAGCAAATTAGAGAAGTGCTGCTAAGAACAAGCAATTGTTTAGACGAACACGAGAAGCAGTTTATGAGTTAACAAATTAGAGAAGTGCTGCTAAGAACAAGTAGTTATTTCGACGAACAAGAAGCAGAGGGTGAATTAACAAAAAAGATAAATGCTGCTAAGAAGCAATTGTTTAGACAAGTACAAGAAGCAGAGGACGAATTAACAAAAAAAGATAAATGCGGCCAAGAAGCAATTGTTTAGACAAGTACAAGAAGCGGAAGGTGGATTAGCAAATTAGAGAAATTATGCTAAGAACAAGCAATTGTTTCGACGAGTACAGGAAGCAAAGGATGAATTAACAAAAAAAAAAGTTAAATGCTGCTAAGAACAAGTAATTGTTTCGCCTAGTACAGGAAGCAGAGGGCGGAGCAGCGCTCACATTGTAGAGCTGGTGGGTGGGCGTGGGCTGCTGCTGTTGCTCGAAGGGATACTGCGGCAATTGCCGACTGCTCCCTTCTGTCAGTGACCGCGACTGAGCGTTGCTTCCACCACTAACTCCCTGTCACCCACCACCACCATTACAATTATTATTATAGCAGCACTTGACAGGATGTCACCACACGCCAGGATGACACCACATATATTGTAAGCTCTGGATGAAAACTATACGAGCCAAACGCACTTCATGTACTTAGTTGAAATCTTCTTCGAACGATATAATAGAAAGAAATCAATATTTATGTTTAGAATGATACTCCGTGGATATAATAATGAGAGAAAATGCGCAATAGGAGCACAGAAAATTCACATCAAAACAAAGAATAGAGTTGCTTAGTTTAGTTCCAAACAGAACGTAATGGTTTCACGCTCATTACAGAGTTGCACGCCACACTTCTAGATACAGATAGAATATTGCATAATAGCTTAAATGAACACAAGACCATATATTTTAGCATGTTGTTGACTACTGTACTGTCTAAACTTGATTGGACTAAATTAGAGGATAGACCACTCAAAATTTAGAAATGAACTCGATATTCCAACTTTAATCACGTGGCGGTCACAAAAACATCGTACTTGTATACGATAGTACTACTTATACTACTTATATACTACATCGTACTTATATACTAGTTCGATGAAAATAGACTTGTTCACAGTTAGTGTATTCATCATGTCTCAGGCACGAGAGGTTCCAAACCTTAGTTCAAGATTTCACGTAATTTAGAGGCCTCGATGACATCTCAGGCATCACTGAATATTTCCATGAATTAGCAATAGTTACTTACACCTAACCACTACTTTCTAGGAACAAGAAAGTAGTGGTTACTTGCACCTAACCACTACTTTCCTTGAGCACGCTGTGTTGGAGTGATCAACTGACCTTCGAGTAGATCTCTCCATCAAGCTGAGAATATTGTTGTTGCTGCTGCTGCTGCTGGCGCCTGACGGGTATGACGCGCTTGTCGTCCTCGCCGCCGTAGTTGTTGCTGCTGCTGTTGATTGACGTCATCAGCGAAGAGACAATGGATGCATCGGAGCGAAAGTCGGGATGCTTCGTGTTGATGTACGCTAGTTCAATCAGCACTAAATTTTCAACCTGCAAAATACCATGAAATAATAAGCAGCAATGAAAGAAGAAAGAATGATTCTCTAGTAACTGCACAAGATGATTACCAGTATCCGTTATTTCTATACTGCAATTGAGCGGATTGTCACTCTGACAGAATGTTTTTCTTCTGATGAAGTGACATTCATTCCATTGCGTTTTACTTTAATTACACTAAGCAAGCATTTATTAGATCCATATAGCTAATACAATAACATCAGTTTCAGATTTACAAATAAATAAAATTTCGATTTTCGGAACATTGTAACGTAGTAGTATAAAAAATTAAATAATTTTGAATAGGACAAGATCCTAGAACTGAAATAACTTGAATTCTTCACAGAGGTTCTGACCATAGAATTGGTTGGTGGCAGCCTTCGTCGTAACAACTGCGTGACGACGTCCACGATCTTCTCATGGACCTTTGGGAAGCGTAGCATTTCTTGCTGCACCTGCAAATAAACTGGAGATTAAATGCATGACATGAGGGCGACACAGCAGAGACATTTGGGACACGATAGAGGCGAAGTTGAACGCTGCAGACCAAACAGAGCCAGTGGTTATGCTTGAGTAAACAGAAGCCAGAACCTTATTTGTGCAAGGTTCGTATCGATTGAGTCCACTCAATGAAACTGGATGATATCTCACCTCAGTGCCACAGAACTGAATGATATCTCACATCAGTGCCACAGAACTGAATGATATCTCACCTCAGTACCACAGAACTGAATGATATCTCACATCAGTGCCACAAAACTGAATGATAACTCACTTCAGTGCCACAGAACTGAATGATATCTCACCTCAGTGTCACAGAACTGAATGATATCTCACCTCAGTACCACAGAACTGAATGATATCTCACCTCAGTACCACAGAACTGAATGATGCGCTGCATCTCCTCATGGACCAGCTCCACGCAGCGCTGTGACGGCTCCTCTAGTCTCCTGATCTGCCGCTTTACCAGGAGCTCAAATGAAACCTGCACACAAAATAATATCAAATCAACAGATGAATTTACAGTCTAATAATAAATGCTTATCTACATACATTTCGCAAATAAATCAACCGAGATAAATTTCAGTCATAATTTATGATTTATTTGAACCCAGTTTAAAGGCTTTTAGAGATAACCAATGATAAGCAGTGTTAAAGCTACTTGGGCAATAATGGATTAAAATGGATATCACGCACAATTCATTTGTTTGTCTCAGTCTAGTAAAAATGCATGAGAGAGCCTGACCTCAGGCACAAACAGCGCTGGTCGCGGCCCAGTGGCATTACGTATGGCGGTCAGGATGTCCATTTGAGTGAGGCCGGCCAGGGGGTGGATGCAGTCCAGCGTCCGCCCGAACGTCTCGTGGAAAATATAACAAATTCGCGCTCCTCCACACCTGACATATGACGTAATTGATTAATAATTATCAGTTTAAAACAATCATAAATGTGCACAACCCATTGCATTGTTAGAATATTTTTCAGCTGAATTGAGCAAAGATTTAACCGGTATTCAACTCTGACCAGGAGATAATCTTGATAAACAAGCTAGATGACAGCAAGCTATGCGTGCTGGGCATTTTATCACATAGAACCTCACAGTTCAGTTGTTTCGATGTTCCTTGCCGTTCCTTCAACTGTTTGGCAATAAGCAGCATTGAACTTTGTGATGATCTGCAGTAAAGTCTGAGCCTTATCTTGTACATCATCGCCATAGCTGTTGAGCAGAGACTGGAACTGTGACATCATCATTGTCACGCGCGTCTGAAGAGAGAACAGTAAGAATAATTAATACAACTTCAAGCCAATCTCTTGAAGTTGGCTTGCCAATCTCTCAAGCCAATTAATACAACTTCAAGCCAATCTCTGCAAATCTCTTCAATCTGGCATAATATTATCCGGAACAAAAATGTACTCAAGACAAGAAGTGTACAATAAAGTTACCACCACCCGCGAATAATATATTATATACAGCTGTTATTTATTCTTAATCCAGAAATCAACTCCCAGACAAGACTTCTTAAGGGGACCGACTACCCTAAAATTTTCAATTTTGGCGTTTTCCGGTTTTTGAGCTCATCTTAAAGCTGGAATTCTGCTCTTTCCAATGGTACCACTGCCATCGCTGTACGCCAATATTTACGTTCATGACGTCTCTTTAAGGGGAAAATGAGAAAAGTGATCATCAAATTTTTAGGTATGGTCCTTACAAACCGAATGATACGTGTCTCGATGTTGTAGGATGATATTTGTAGGAGGAGATAGATTTTCTAAAGTACCCCTTTTTAGCCGTTTTCTACGAATTTCACGTTTTCTATCATTTTTTCAAAAAATTCATAGAAGCAAAATGTTATTTTTTTTTTACATTTTACGTATGTATTTGAAGTTTCATGATGATCGGACAATAACTGTAGAAGTTTTTCCGGAGGGTAGTCGGTCCCCTTAAACTTTTGGTTACTTTCTCATCATATGGAGAATAAATTATAATATATACAGTAAAAAATTCATGGTAATTGGATTAGATTTCCACAGCTTGAGATTCATTTTATACGTGAACATATGGAGGAGGTATTAGAGCAGCAAACAAAATAAGGGGAAAGACAGTAGGTCCTTAATTTTTACCATCAAAAACCGCCTACAGCATTGTACATACGTATGTATAACGTAAAAAATTCTACCTACATTCAATGCATAATATTGTACATACAAACAATCCACAATATTATACATATACCTATATATATAATGTACAACATGGTCAACAAGTACATACCTTGAGCTCAGGTAGACAGTCACGGATGTGGTGCATGAGGAGGCGGTTGAGTGTCTTAGCAAGGTATGGCGTGCCATTTCTGTTTGCCAGGGTTGGGTATTTGCGCTGCAGGAAGGCTGCCTCATCCTTCATTGCATCTTCTATACTCTGTGGAGCATGTAAAGTTATATTGTAACACAACTACACAAGTCCTCAAGATATTTACAGAATAACGTTAGAACTGGCTGCTATAAAACTTTATTACTCATCCTTCATTGTATCTCCTATACTCTGTGAAGCATGTCAGTTTTATTGTAAAACAACTACGCACGTTCAACAACTACACACGTTCTCAAGATATTTACAGAATAATATTAGAACTGGTTGCTATAAAACTTGATAACTCATCCTTCAATGTATCTTCTATACTCTGTGAAGCATGTGGTCTGCAGTCAGCTGTAAAGCAATGTCTCAGAATATTCATCAAAAGTGTCAGAATTCATTATATAAAAAATTTATACAAATTCTCATGAAATATTCAGACGATATTTTATGCTCTGCCCAAACCATGTAGTTTGAAATGATTAAGAAGGAAAACTAAAATTTGTTAGCTTCAAGATCACGCCGTTTTTACCACGTTTTTCTTAGTTTCACTTCGAATCTGTCTGTCTGTCTGTCATCAAAAATTCAAACCTTAATTTAGAGCATTTCTGAAGATCCTAAAAACCTTAAATATGGCATGCATGCTTATGCTGCCTAACAATTCAAGATTTGATCATCAGAAGTAACAATTAAAAAAATTAAAAAAAAAAACTAAAAATTCACGGGTTGGGAATCGAGTTTTTTTGTCGAACATCCAGACTTGCCAACCCTAGAAATTGATTTGAATTGCTAAAATTGCTAAACTAAAAAGTAGAAAAAAAAACATTTTTAAAAACCACATTTTTCTGGTGTTTACAAAACTAAAAACAATTAAATAAAAAAAAAAACTTTTAAAAGCCACATTTTCTTAGCAGACAAAAAAGAAAAACATTTACTCTTACATTACATTACATAATATTTTACATAACTTTAATGTTATGTAAGAGTTAATGTTTTTCTTTTTTGTCCGTTAAGAAAACGTGGTTTTTAAAAGTTTTATTTTATTTGTTTTATTTTATACCTACAAAAGAATTTAAGATTAAGAGGTATCCAGTTTTAAAACATCAATATAATATTCACGATGTATGGTTAGCAGATGTACTATACAATGGTGAATATGGGCACCAACATAGTTTTCATACCCACCAACCTTATTATCTATAATGTCTTGCTGAGAGCGGTTAACAACGCCAATGATGCCCAGCTTAACAGGAATGACTCGGCCACATAGACAGTCAATGGCATCAGTTCCTGAGAACATCACAAACACAGTCAATGGCATCAGTTCTACTCACCAGCATCCATGAGATCAAGTTTGGTGATGACAGCCAGAGTTCGTCGTCCACTCACCAGCATCCATGAGATCAAGTTTGGTGATGACAGCTAAAGTTCGTCGTCCATCGGGGTCGACCTCCTTAGCCATCTTGAGGGCCTCAGCAGTGGCCATGTCAGTGTTGGCCGACGACACTGCCAGGATAATAGAGTTTGGGTTGCCGATATACTGCAATACCAGATCGTGCACCTGCTGCTCAATGTCTTCTGGCTGATCTCCTACTGGCACCTGCAAACAAAATACTTCATTTACATACAAGGGATGGACAAGATACGGGAAATAACTGAAATTTCAATATAATAATTTTTCAACATGTTATAAACAATCGAAATCTTACATTTCTATGTTTTATGGTTTATTGTAGCTGCTAATTGCTATTTTATCCTTACGCTGAAATTTGTAAAAAAATATTTTTGTGTCTGGTCAGACCAATGATTTCTCTTCCTAGAAGAATAAAAAGCCATGACTATTAAGGAATTTTGGAGGACCAAGTTCATCCAATGGTTCAAGCACTGTTTCCAGAGGGGAACGCCAGCTTTCAATTTTTAAGAAATGGCAGGAGGAACATTCTAATGAAGTTGGGCATCTCATTAGACCACCACAATCACCAAATTTGAATATTATCAAACATTTATGGTTGATTTTACTGTTAGAATTCAGAAGTCAATCAACCCCTTAGAGAATTGAGGCTGTAATTGCAGCTAAAGGTGGACCTACACCATACTAAAATATATTTTGTGTATTCCTCAGCTGTTTCCTTAATTTTGTCTAACCCCTGTATAGGTACATAAAAACTATATTTAATTTTGTAAGGAATTAAATATATTATACCAGAAATCATTCAAATTTAGCAATAAATTTATAATTAAATCAATTTTTCAATTTGTTTTGGAAGGATTAATTGGAGTATCACCATGCAAATGAAAAATTCTTACCTTTGTGAGGCCTGGTAAATCAACAACCGTCAAGTTGACCACTTTGTTTGAGTAGATTTTTAATCTGATGGGCTCGGGTGATATGCCCTTGTTTGCACCAGCTCCTCGGTTAGTCTCTCTCTCTATCTCAGCTCGAACTTCATCAAAGTCTGAGAATATCTTGTCCATGTGCAGGAATTGGGCCCATTCCAGCAGATCAATGTTGGCTGAAATAAAGATTGCTTTCAGGGAATCTTTGACTAAACTTGTCCAGAGAAGTTATCATCTTAAAATATTGAATTAGCCAATATTGATACAACATGGTATAATAAAGTCAAAAATCTAAAAAGTGAATAATACTACAAGCCAATGAAGATATTTCATTCGAAAGTGCAATGAATAAAAAACAAATTTGCTTTTGATTATGTATATAGCCATTCTAGAAAGCTATATTTCTTTTCTATAAGAAACAGTTTTGTTTCTGTTTGTTCTGTTCTGTTCATTGTAAAAAGATTTACAATAAAATCAAAGTTGTTCAAACCATAGACTGAAGATAGTGACGATCTGGGATAAAAAATCAAGACAGAAAATTTGTATTAAAATTTCATATGTCTCAACCAATTTAAAGAAATTCTTCTCTCTCATCAAGACAATGTGAGCAAATTTTTATTATTCCAGATAGTTTTATGAAGGAAGAATTCAATGAATATTGTAGACATTGGAAAACAACATTTAATTTATTCTGTAAATATATATATAAGGAGAAAAAGTTATGCCAAAATTTATTTGCAAAAATTGTCATTTAAAAATGTAAATACTAATATAGTGAACTTTTGGACAAATTTGTCTCAATGTCAATTAAAAAATCTCCGTGGGGAAAAAATGTATTGCTTGTTAAGACCATAGATTTATGTCGTATTTCATTTCTTACCTTGATTGCGATTTTCCTTGTGTTCATTAGTTGTATACATGAGCTGCAATACAAGTGGACGTCTGGTGACAATACCAACCCCTCTTGGCAGAAAGCTTTTGCCAACCAGACTCTCCAAGACACTGCTTTTACCAGAGCTCTGGAAATGAAGATAGCATACTAAACTCTATGTCAAGGTAAATATAGGTCATAGACACAAAAACAAATATGATTATATATACATTATACCTTAGATTGACTCTTTATTTCACCACAAATATCTAAATAATACTGACAAGCACAAGATCATAGAAACTATTTTATTAATATTTTGGATAAATTAAAAATTTTTTGGTTCAGTCCTGCAGTTTTATTCATGAATATTTCTACCATCAATGACAAATAAGTTGCCACACATCAAACCATCATCAACAAAAACCATGCAGTACTGGTTATTATTACAATTTGTAGGGTTCAATAGCCATATATTAACTAAGAAGATTTCCAATTGCGCTAGAAGGTTGTGGCGAAGGTAATCATAATGATGTTAGGTAGACATATAGTTATGGCTTTGGCTTGAAAAGTACAGTAAAATGGGGTAACTTTGACCACTTTTTTATTTCGAAACAATGCCATTTTTTTACTAGACAAGTCAAACTTAAATTGAAACATGCAAAATACAGGTCTATACTCTAGGTTTACTCACCATAAATTGCTGGCTCCTGCCTCTCATAGTTTTGATGTAATTTCAAAAAAAGTGATGGTCTTTGTTACCCCAGCTCTTGGGGTTTCTTTTACTGGGTGGTAAAATCATTTTATTCTTTGGTAAAATAACTCCAAATAACTCCAGGTTGTGGTGCATTGTAGTAGAACTCTTTTAGTTACATATGCAAAAGACAGATTTTAGGAAAGTGTCATAGTTTGCAAATGGGGGGCGCTGCCCCCCAATGGGCAAAATGTGACCACCTAATGGCAGCCGTGATGGGGTAACATTGACCGGTTTGGAAATTAAGTTAAAATTACCATATATAAGACTCTCTAGAGTCTGAAACATAAAGAAAAAAACATTAATAGGTGTATCAAACATAAAATATGTTACATAGGTACCTATGGTAATTTTAACTTAATTTCCAAGTTGGTCAATGTTACCCTGTCACGGCTGCCATCAGGTGGTCAAAGTTCCCCCATTGGGGGTGGCGCCCCCCATTTGCAAACTATGACACTTTCCTAAAATTTGTCTTTTGCATATGTAACTAGAAGAGTTCTACTACAATGCATCAAAACCTGGAGTTATTTTACCAAAAAATAAAAAAATTGGAAGGGGTACTCTGACAGGCTGTAAATAATAGCTCTTTTTCATGGGTCACATTATTAATTTTTACACCTATTAGATATGCAAACTTTTTAAATCTTTCTATTGTGTAACGTAGCCTCAGTATTAGGCCTTTGATGGCCATTGACAAAATTTTTCTATGTCAAATCGTTTTTGAGTTTTGGGGGTTTTTGTTAAAAAAAACAAAAAGTGGTCAAAGTTACCCCGCCGGTCAAAGTAACCCCATTTTACGGTAATATTGTATTCTAAAAAATTAGGTAAGGTTCCTAAAAATATGCAAAACTGACAGGTATTGGCGTTTTCATATCATTCAAAAACTTATTGGCAGGATTAGTATTTTTCTTACTTATTACTGAGATGTTGCAGCTTCAAAATTCATAATTTTCAATACATTTGGAAACTTGCAGCCAATTGTACACCTTTATTCATAAAATAGTAGGTAATTCATCTAGCAGGAATCTTGCAGCCCAAAAAAAGCTTTATTTGTGGCTGGAGAGGTAGATACATCACATAGGTACCTGTTTACATGTGGCTTCTGTCAATTTTCCTGTTAGAATAAAAATAGGTACAACTGTCTGCAAAAATGGGCTATGGGAATTTTGGACCTTCTGTAATTTTGGACCTAATTTTCCAGAAATAGTATGCGAAAACAATTGTTTCAAAAATTTTTTTTTAAATTGCTGGTAAAATCGTGTAATTTTTCTTATTTTTCATTTTAGAAGTTGGAAAAAGGATCCAGGAATGGGTGAAATTATGTACAATCACAGGCATTTTTGTCACATTCATGGGTAGATTTTACCAGATTTCTCAATCATGGATTGCTTCAGGATTTGAATTTACCTACTCATTACCGAAATTTTGGGACTCTTAACCCTAATTACACCAGGTTTGTGAGAAAACGCCATTTGTTTCTAATGACCCAAGCACAAAAATAACCGCAAATCTGACAGCTTTGTCTGTCAAGATACTCTTCAACAGAGATCTATTTATGTTGGATCAATAATTTTGTAGCTCTTTCTTTTTTGATATATAATAATAAGGTAAGTCATTCAGCAAAAGACATCTAAACTTTAGTAACCTTGTGAACTGCTCTGCTTGTAGGCAGCAAAGCAATGTGCTCTGCAATGTCTAGGCAGCAAAGCAATGTGCTCTGCAATGTCTAGGCAGCAAAGCAATGTGCTCTGCAATGTCTAGGCAGCAAAGCAATGTACACACAATAGCAATGTTTCACTAGCTATGGAGGCAAGAGGTACTTGATCCTTCTCTCTGTCCCATTTCATGTTTTTGCAATGGCAAGCAAAGCAATGAACTGACAGAGATCAAATAAAAAACTTTTGGAACAAATAAACTATGAGAAAGTAAGCAGCAATGAAGTTGATGTCAACTTTATCATCACTGTTGATGACAACAATCAAGGAAGTGAGTACACAACAGAACCAGGCAAGGAGCTGCCCCATGAAGAACCATTCATTTTAGACAATACATGAGCAGTAGAAACTTATCTCAGAGAAACACCAAGACTAGTTTTGCTCATATGCAAAAGTACCTATGCTCCATCGATACTACTCTGAATCCTGGAAATTAAAGTTTTTCAATTGCCAGATACAGAAGAAACCTTACAACATAAAAATCTGAAAGAAAACTAAACATGAACCTGAAAAAGCACTGATTTGGTCTAACATCCCTCCAGCTTAGCATAGAACTGCTGCTGAGAATATTCAAGCTTGACCAACCATGAAGCCTGAAGTATTGTCAGCTGCTAGCCATTCATCAACCTAGAATTTATTCTTCAGCAATGACATGATCACAGCTATTGTAGACTATGAACAAAAAAGTTCAACCAAAAGCCATTCTAGCACAAAACAAGATGGAATTTTATTACATAAGATACACTGACCATCATATAATAAAAGTATTCATTGGGTTATGTTACATATGGGAGATCTGGGCATGAATGACCACAGCTACCAACTTCTTTCCAGGGACATGGACAGACCTACAATATCTTCATGTACAATGGAGGCAAACAGGTTCTCATTTCTTCATGCAAACATTTCCATTGATGACAACACCCCAGCTGATTGGTGGCTCCACAAATTTGACACAATTAGAGATGTCATCTAATTACTTAACAGGAATTGCAGGTGTGCCCTCAATCCAATGAACTATGTTTCCATAGACAAAACTCTCTACTCTTGTCATAATAGAATAGCATTCAAGCAGTACAATCAAAACAAGCCTGCTAAATATAGCATTTTTACAAGTCTGTAAACTAAGCAAGATTTTTTCACACTTATCAAACTGCCATGTGCCATCAAATGGGGTAAAAAGGGACAGTCTTCCAACATTTTGTAGAAATGTTGTAGCAGCTAAACTAATCAAAATATTGCAAAACTAAAAATGGTGGCATAAAGTTCAGCATTTTACTATCTATGCAGCATAAAGCAAGTTTAGAAATCATACATTTATTACCTTTAAAAAATCTCTGAAAAAAAGTTTGAAAATTGAGATTTTGGAAAAGTACCTCTGCTAAGGTCTGTAGCCAGAAAAATATTTATCATATTGTTCGGGGCTGCATTTAGGCAAATGAATGATTTATTAAGTGTTTTCAATTAATCCTCTCTTTTTGTCCCCAGTGCTTTAATACTAATAAAGTGACTGCAAGTTAAAGTTTTATTAATGCATTTGCATAAGCATTGTTGAAGTGAGCCAATTTTCCATGGTCCTTCTTGTCTGGTGCTTATACTGACCTGCCAACCACCCATACTGCCTACTGTAAATGAGCCTACTTTCTGCCAATAAAGGCTTCCTTGCTGTCCTGTCACTGACCTACTAAGATTACCCTGGCTCTTTAAATAGGTGAGTAAAGGGAATACTCTTGCCATGCATCTCAGTCCCAAATTTTAATTATTGAATGTTATCAGTAAATGTTTGTACATATAATCAATCATCCCTTAAAATTGTTTTACAGTTTTGCATTGGTAGATCAATTTGTTCTTATGTGTTCCTAGTGTACTTATGTGTTTAAACTTTCAAGTGTTATTGTTGGAAAGGTTTTATGTGTTCTTGTTCCTGCACTTTTGCAGAGTGGCCAACATGGAGCATATTCTGGGCCAATTTGGGGCGCATTCCGGCAAGTTCTGAGCTAGTTTGATGCCAGTTCTGGACGAGTGTCAGGGAAACTTTGGGCTCACTGAGCTACATTGCAGTCGAGTTTTGGGCTGCTCTTGAGCTACTCGAGCTGACACTAGAGGCCATCGTGGATGTCCCTTCAAGTCCTGTCCAGCAACTCATGTCAGAGCTGCCCTAACGTGCCAGTCGAGTCTACCCCACTGCTACTCACAAGTAAGACCACCGCTGTCTTGTTTCTTTGGTGCGGATGCCACTTGATAGATCAGGCCTGACCCAGGGCCCGTTTTGAGCTCTTGATTCCTCAGTTTCATTATTTTTGGTTTGGTTTAGGTTACTGATAATTATTCTGGCCCAGTTTAGTTTATTTACCATGTATCTTTATTTATTCTTTGCTGTTCAAACCAGTTTGGGCTGCTGGCTATTTATGTTCACATGCTAGGTTCACCCCATCACTTATAGCTCTGGGCTGTCTCATTACTAACCAACTAAGTTTGCACCTTTCACCTTCATTTACCACTGATTATATTTAATACATGTTTTCTTGGTTCTTCCTCTGTTTGTTTCCCTGAGTTTGTTTGCTTGGCTTCACATGCTGGTACTATACTGGCCAGACCGTTGACCTTTAGAGGGGCTGACCCTCAACAATATTGAAAAATTTTACTTACATAAAAGTTGCACACTGGTGTTGGCTTAAAAACGTAATTGACAGAATTTGCACATCTCATTCCAAGAAAAAATGGTGGCCATTTCCGCAAAACGGGGTAATAAAGGACACCCACCGGGGTAATAAGGGACACCCCTAAAATCACATTTACAGTATAACCTTGGTTAGCAAAGGTTCCAGTTAATGAAAAATCAACTAACAACAAAGAATTTTGATTACATTTGCCTTGTTCAGTGAAAAAATTTTACTTAAAATAAAATTACTGCATCAGTCATCACAAAATTGTGCATAGAATGTCATAGATAGAATTGAGCACTGTGCCACAAAGAATGCAAAGTAGTTAACCCAAACTATGATTTATTTCTCCAAAAAAACGTTGGTTGTGACTAAAATATTCCTTCCTGTTTCAGGTATGTTTTTTCCAATCTTTTTCATTATAGTGAAATCACTTGAGTTGATTAAAATTGTGCAAAATTATAAGCCATCCTGTAAGCTTATAGATACAGAAGAAATGCTACATGGCTGCTGATATGAAGCTTGCAGTGGACAAGGTCATTGTCAATGCTCAATGGCATGTCCATGGATACAGTAATAGCACATTAATAATACAGTAATGTATGGATAAGGTAATATTATATCAATGAAGAAAAACCAAGTAAAAATCACAGAAAATTTTATTTATTCTACATTTACATCATCTACAACGGAAGAGGAGGACTTCAGAGTACTGTTAGTAATAGATGAGTACACTCTGCATGCTTCAGACGTTCTAAAATTGAGTTTTATTTCAATTGTCCCTAATTGCCCTGTTTCCAGATTAATTCAGGAGCCTTTTATTTTGCATCTAGCACTTGCAAATAGCATATGGAATTTTTTTGGAGATGCCATACAATAGTCCTTGCAAAGACCTTTAAAATGAGCCCAAATTGGTTTATGAATTTTTTCATGGTAAGAAGTTATTAACAAAAATGCTCAAAACTGACACTTTTTACCCCGTTTGATGGCATTGTGGCAAACCTGCAAAAACTCCCGCACCTTACTAAATCCAGAGAATAATGATGAGATTGATTGAAGAACTGGAAAGGTATTCCATCTGTAAATTAATAAACATCGCCATTGACCGACAGTACAAAAATATAGAACTCTGTGAATGAATTCTAAAAAATATCACAGTTCTTAAAATAATGATGGCCAACAGAAAAGGAATTCACTGTGGGGGAGAACACAGATAAAAAACAGTCACTCCACTCCCATGTAATGAATACAGAGTGAAAAGGAAAGAAAAATGTGTTGGCACCCACTACTTTATGCCCCATGATAGCAACTACTGTACATAATCAAGTAAACAAGCCAGCAATCCTATTCAGGATTGCCTATTCATCTACATTTTCACTAAATGAGGAACAGATATTGTTGACCTAAGCACAAATACAAAAGCCAACTGATGAACCATGTCTGTCTTTCAAGTTAGGTATGCTAAACACAGCAGGAGTCAATGCCCTTCTCCTGAGGGAACTCACACAGCAAAAATTCCAAATAGCTCAATTTCATTCAAATTTGCATTCCAATTGGCAACTAATGTCATCCTCATCCACGATCACATCAATGAAGAAAACAAAAATCCTCTTTCCACAACAACTCAGCACAAAATTGCAGCATAGAGGTCTCAGAACAATAGCGAGACATAAGAAAGGTCAGAAACAGGAGCATCTATTGCAACATTGTCCAGCAGAGGAGCAGTCTGAAAACCCTATCACCAATGCCAGCGCAACTGCCTCCAACTCTCCTGCATTGAACGTGACTACATCGGCTACAAGAAAGTAATGTTTTGAATATGTTGAGGAAAATTTTGCTTCCTGGTTGTCTGCAGAAAGAAGAAGTAAACTGCAATGAGCCAAGTTCTAACTGTGTGCAAGATATGCCACAAAGCTGTTTGCAAGCAGCACTTTGACCCAATTTGTGTAGAGTGTTTGCAAACTGAATAATAGCATTGCATGCACATCTTCGAAATATTGCCTAGTTAGTTTTACCTTACATTATTTTTCATATTAAAAGTATTAATTTTGAATCTGAGCAAATGGAAAATGTTTCCATATTATAAGTATTTATTCGGAATGTGTGCTATATTGGAAAACGGTAGTACCCGTTTTGAAAATAATGTCACAAACCTTCCTTTTTGAAACAAAATCAGTTATAAATGTTATTAGAAATTCATGCTGATCATCATTCATCGTCATAAATGCAAGATTCCTAATGAGTATATACAGATACTGCATGTTTTGCTGTATTATGTTTAATTTATAAAAATTAGAAAAGGCATAATGTTTAATTTTTTTTTTTAAATGTTCACTATTATTTATCACATAATCATGCATTTCAAGAATGGTGTAAATTGGACAGCTGGCTTGTTAGGCACATGCACATGTATATGACCTTGAATCTCAGCATCAGTTACATCATCACCACAATATCTTGCTGCCACAGTTGTCATACATGGAAATGGCTCTACTTGAGACCAGAAACTTGGTCAATACATTCTCCTAATTTTTAAATATGGGTTTTAGTTCACAATTTATATTAATGCCAGGTAAAATAATTATGGCATATGTTTAATGGGAGGCACCTAAAAAATACATAGCAGAATGAAGGGCAGAAATCATTTGCATCCAAGGTAGTAGCATGATGCAAAAACCCAAGGCAATCAGGGTTACAAGACAAATTTTCAATACATTTTTTGAAGTTCCAAAAAATGGCAGGAAAGCTCCAATTGAGGCTCATAGGGTAGATACATTCCATGCCTGGCTTCGTTTCGCCATTAGCTCAGTTTACCATTTAAATGCCAATGACACAGTGCCACTTGCGTTAAAATAGCAATTCTTTTGCCATCCTTCCACAAGAAGCTGATATTTTATAATATTTGAATGAATGTATTTTTTATTAAGTAGAATGAATAACAACTTTTTGTTTCTCAATAGAACCTTATAATGCTCATTATAATGTGGTAATTAAATACAGTAGTATAAATGGTGGTTCTGACCAGTATTATATGCTTGTTTTTGATGAGCATCAAGTAAGGTGCAATATCCTTTAATAAACAACTCTAGCAACATTGACATTTGACAGTAGATATTCAATTTTTCATACCTGAATTACTGAAGGATAAAATTTGGAAAAGTATATAATTACATGGAATTTAATTTAACAGAAATTAAAAGAAAATTCTTAATTCTAGTTTGGCCAAATTTGAACTTTAACTAGAGATAGAACTTACCTGTGATCCAACAACTACAATTTGTGGGAGCTGAATAGCATCTGCTCCAACTGTGTTGAAAACATCTTGAAGCTTGTTAATAACTGGAATTAAGGCTTCCATGCTCATGTTCTCAATCAATTCAAATTTATTACAAATTTGGTGCAGAAAAGCTACAATCAGAAAATGAGAACATGAGATTGTTATCTACCTAGCTCTCCTGCTCTCAGGCCTCAAGTCTAGTCTAATTCTTTCTTTTGTCCACTTTGAGGACTTGGTTCTTCACCACTCGCCCCAAGTACAAACGGGCAGCAGGGGTTGGGCCAGACAAACCTGAGGGCAAAGGCCTTGTTAAGTTTGCAAGCCAGTTACATCTGTTGATCTGTTAGTTCAATTAACTACTTGACACTGAAATTAGTGATGCATGCATGTTAGTAACCTTTGCCTGATTGGATGGCCTACCCAGACAGAGAGCCAATGCCAGATTTCCAGAAAAGCACCATAATTATTCACCAAGGGACGAGTAAGTAATATGACCAAGACCTGCTGATGCTAATCTTCTAAGCTACTTGCCTGCTACCATCAGGATCAAAACTCAATAGAAGAGCCTCCTGTCTGGGGGATTCTGTACACATCTTGACAAGGTCCTGTACAGGGATCACATTTAAAATTAGGCATGTGATGGGAGGATTCTGCCAAGACTGTCATGCTTCAAAAAGCATAAAAAGGATGGCAGAGGGCCATAAGATTAGCGATTAGTTGCAACTTAATTTCTTTCAAATGCATAGTATGGAGAAGGTAACTGGTAAAGGCACTAACTACATTATTTCTCACTGAACAGGAGAATGAAAATCCCCACATTCACATTAGTTTTGGACTGTTATGGAGACTCCAGGCTACTGGAGCCTGTCTGGAGGGTTTCCAGAAGCTCAGTCTGACTGTCTGAGCAAATACCATAGAGTGGGAATTGTAGTAGAAAGTGAGCAATTGAGTATATCCCCACACTGACGGTTAGTCTTGCTAATTTGAAGCAATGTAAGTATTGCTTAATGTCAACATGTCCAATTTGCCAACTGGCTGGTGCTGCTTCTGCTGTTCTGATCTTACATGATGACCATGGCCAATACTGTGCATGTCCCTCAAAAGGCTCAATTGACATCAAATGCCTTCACTTATATGAACTTTCAAGTTTCAACTTCCTGATGCCAATTATTGTCCAAGAATCTCATAAGTGATGTCCTAACTTCTCTTACCATATCTTCCTTGGATCCTTGCCCACCTCTACTTTCAGAGTGATATCACACAGGACACAGGTTGTGTCCTGCCTTTGCTGCCAGTGCCTGACACCAGTTCATTCACTTCAATGCTCTTATGTCCTGGAATAATCTGAATCTTCATGGGAAATAATTGGCTTAATGCATAAATTAACCTATGAATCTCAAAGACACAAAAGACATATGAATCATGCCTTAGTGTAATTGAATCAGTAAAAAACTGGACATGGAGTCAGATTTCAGAACTCAGAATATATTACTGTAACAGGGCAGTTCTTAGGATTGCAAAGGAGAAATTGCAATGCTTTGACAATTGCAATCTAGCAATGAATGCACTCTAAGACTAATGTACTTGTTTGAGCCTTTGAGGGGACTGGGGAGAGCCTTTAGGGTAAACGCGGTATATTCCGACACATTAAGGACACATCGAGAAATGAAAAACTATAAAAAAAACGTATGCGTTACATAAGTTCTGTTGCCTTCACGTGACTCTCAAAACACTTCACTACGCGTCAGCAACAATGAAAAATCACAAAATGTTGCCATATTTATTAAAAAGCCTTTAGAATGGAAACCTACCAAATCCCTATATTCCGTCACTGTGTGTGGCAATATTCGACACGTGGTGAGTCGTATTGCGTCAGCGCTTTAAATTTAACCGATATGTAATGCCAACATCAACGTATTCAAATTCCGTTCGCTGTGTGAGCTGTCTTGGGATACAACACGGCTTTGAATTAGAACACTAACGAATATTGAACACTACTTAATTACGTTTTAATTTAACCGTTATTTTTCCGTTTTCTATGAATATCACGTTTTCTATCAATTTTTTCGAAAAATTCATAGAAGTAAAATGTTTTTATTTTTACATTTTACGTTTGAATGTGAAGTTTCATGATGATCGGATAATAACTTTAGGAGTTATAGGCTATCTCCAATTTAGGTTAGACGGTCCCCTTAAGCAAATTTCAATTTTTGTACAAAGCTTGGAACGATCTGTGTGTGTCCAATTCAAGTTGTGTCGGAATTAGTTTTGATGGGTCTAAATCCATCACTCAACTTAATCATCTACTAATTTATTTACGACTTGAAATCAGCAAATACAAGTTTACTTAAAGGATTCCTAATATATTCACAGACGTATTTAAAAGTCTCAAAACCATAATATTCTTCCTATAAAAACAGTTATTCACTATTTGGTATAGCAAGGTCAACTGTCAAATTTGACACATTTTTCGATGATCTCATCAGGTGGCATGCATGGTCTCTCTTTGGATCTCAATATTTTCCCACTAGATGGCCAAGACCCAGTGTTTTTGCAGTATTTCGACACGCAAATGTATGACGTCACCATTTCAACCATCAATGAACGCATGGAACTAAAACAAAGCTTAATGTAAAGGAAAAACTAGAGAAGTGACGGAATTACCTACGATGTCAGAATAAAACACCGCTATTACCGCGTTTGCCCTAATTAAAACTCTGAGTGGAGTCAGAGTTACAATAAATCACAGATGCAGCTAATGATATTTCAGGCTGCATGAACTTTGACCCATCTCTAAAAACCTGCAGATATCCTGCAACCTGCATAGCAACTTAGCAAGTATCTTGGACTGCCTCTGTGCCTCAAGAATCAAGATCAATCAAGAGTGACAGCTTGGCAGTTGGGCCAGATGGCAGGGTTGGCGATTTTTTTTTATTTTTTTAAAAAAATCAAAAAAAAATCAAAAATCAATGTTTTTTTTGATTTTTTCATGATTTTTTTTTATTTATTTGATTTTTTCAGTTTTTTTGTCTTTTTTGAGGTGTTATTTTTTATGTTGCAACTAGCCTACTAACAATAACAGTATATGGATCATAATGGATGGCTAAAAAGGGCACTTATTGCCTCCAATAATGGCCAACAGGCCAAGGTGGTGTTTACCACTTAGGGATTTTCGGGTAAACAATTATTGATAAGTCTATTCATTAGCATTGTAAAATTTGTATGGAGCAAGGTAATGAGCTAAATGTTGACCATTCAACTGGCTTCAATATACAAAAACACTTAAGGAATGCAGATCTCCTAAACATTGAAGAGTCACATAACAGATATGTAGCTGATAGCACAGTGCACAGCACTATCAATAGATCTACTAGTTTTATGTCCTATAAATCTACCAGACTCTACCCTCTATACACACCGACTAGTAGTGACTGAATGACTGACTGCACTGTTCCCATTTAATTCAGACCAATAAACCAATACTAAACATAAACTGAACGATAACCAAACAAACCTCATACGACTTGAAACAAGACCTAAGTTATGAGAAAAGCTAACACTGTTTGAAATAAATATGTGCACAATTCAAATATTTTATATCCATTCAATGCTTTTAATTATTTTATATATAGGTAGTCTTATAATTGTAATTGTTTTGTTTCTAGTTTTAAATTCACATATTTAAAAATTGAAATTAAATATTTCAATTAGAATACTCGCATTAGGGTGGAAAATCTTTCTAATTGCCTAAAAGTTCAATACAATCTCAACCTCTCAATATACAGGGTGGAGCAGAACCGATTGAGCAGTTTTGAGGCGAAATAAGAGTAATGGAGGTACATAAAGAAGAAAATTTATTTTTCTAGAGATTAGCATAACATACCATTTAGAATACTTATGTTTCAAAAACAATATCTGGAAGATGGGGGCCGTTAGCTGCAACACACTGTTGGAGTTGTTCTCAGCGGAGGGAGTAACCATGACAGTGAATTCCGATTGCTATGCTGCAATGTTGCAAAACTTCTTTCAGCCCATGATGGAAAACATTGTTGAAAATGAAGCATTGAGAGACGTGTGGTTCCAGCAGGATGGGGCTACAGCTCACACAGCTCGAATGTCACTCAATGTTTTGAAATGCATGTTCCCAGACTCTGAGGGGTGATTTACATTGGCCTGTGAGGTCACCTGATTTGAGCATTTGCGATTTCTTTCTTTGTGGACATCTAAAAGAAAGGGGTTCAGAAGTCCCCCTCACACCCTACTACAGCTAAGGGGAGGGATTGTTGCAGCAGAGGTTATGGCCATACCTCGCCATATGTGCGAACGTGCTGTAGAAAACTTCCGAGAACGACTCCAACAGTGTGTTGCAGCTAACAAACCCCATCTTCCTGATATTATTTTCAAAACATAAGTATTTTAAATGGTATGTTATGTTAATCATGAGAAAAATAAACTTTCTTCTTTATGTACCTCCGTTACTCTTTTATTTTGCCTCAAAACTGTACAATCAGTTCTGCCCCATGATTTCAGATTCGTAATCTACACCCCAAAAAACATATAATTAAAAAAAAAAAACACCCTTTTTTTTGGATGTAGTTAATCTGCAATAATACCGAGCCGTCGAAGTGGGAAAAAATATGGTGTATTTTCGTTGTAATAATTTTGGTTAAGTAAAACTGTGGTCTGTGAGTACAAATTTCGAGAAAATTGTAATGAATTGGTGCTGAGATTTTGTCAGTAATAGCTAAGAAGCACAATGCCTCAATGGAGTGAATGGACCACCTGTCCTTGTAAGAGTCACTACTCAGTACTCACTCAGTGCAATGTTTTATTGTGCAGCTCCATTGCTCCACAGTCCCATTTGCAGAAGCTAAATGTCATTCAGAAGTCAGAACCAACACCTCCACTCTGCGCTTTGGCACATAAAACCTCTCCATTATATCATTGGAAGAATGGAAGTTGAAGTTGAAGCCTTGAAGGTCATGTTTTACTTGTAGGCTAACTCTACTGTCTACATAGAATGCAGTCATTATGCAGAATGGCAGAATGCTTGTAGTATATTGTCTCAGTATATAGAAATTTTGTGTGCTGCTAATACAGGGTGTGGCGCGGGAACTTACTTATTTGAATTGCGCGCCACGTGGCGGCCATTAGTCCTAGGAAGGTGGCGCCATGCGCAATATGGTGCGCGGGCTATGAAGTTTTTCGTCCACTCAGTTCAGTTGCGACCATGCAGCTGTCTCTTATACACATCTAGATGTGTATAAGAGACAGCCCCCATGTTAGTA